GCTGCTCTTGCCCCCAACATCTGCCTTCTTTCCCAACATCTGGAGCCTCCTGGCTGCCCCTGGCTCTGTCACTCACCAAGACCTGACGGAGGAGGCTGCTCTCAACATCACCCTCCAGCTCTTTCTGGAGCAGCCACCCCCAGGCCGTCCACACCTTCGTCTGGAGGACTACAGGGTGAGCACCCCTGGGTCCTCTCCACACCCTAGCTCCCACAGTTCCCTGGGAAGGAGGCTCAGCCAACTCATTTCCACCTCCTCCCTCTGTGCACCACCCGGCCAGAGAACCCGCGTTTCCCCAGCCTTGTTAAAGTCTACCTGCACACACCTGTAATTCTGAAGTTCATTTAGCCAGCCTGGGCTAAACCCCAGTGCAAAGCTGGCGTTCTCTTGTGGGGCTCTTCACCCCCTTCTGTTCACACCAGCCTGAGTGCCAGCTGCTAAGGTAATTCTGGCAGTGGTAGAGTCTGAGGGGATCCTCCGGAGTCCCTTTCCCCCTTACTGCTCTTGCTAGGGCCGGACCCTCCTCGCCGATGACATCTTTGCTGCCTACTTCGGACCTGGGTCCCCGTCCCGGAGGTTCAGAGCAGCTTTGGGAGAGCTGTCCCGTGCCAACGCGGCCCAAGACTTCCTCCCAGCCTCCAGGAGCAACCCTGACCTGCACTTCGATGCTGAGAGGCTGGTCCAGGGGCGCACTCATCTGGTGGGGGCTCTGCGGGAGGCCCTGGTGGCTGCCAGGGCCCTGGAGCACACTTTAGCTCGCCAGCGCCTCGGGGCGGCTCTTCATGCCCTGCAGGTGACTCCCCTACGGGGGGGGGGGGGGGGACGGGGCGCACCCTGCCTGAGGTGGCAGCACTTCCTGCGCCCTGCTGGAGTGGCTGCAGAGGAGGGGAGACAGGGAGTAGTGGGTGCTGGCTTCCCCTAGGGGCCGCTGGAAAGCCTTTGGCTTATACTCCAAGACAGACGAGGCTGGGCTGTTGTCCATTTGGGCAAAGCTCTCTTCTGGGCAATGGGAGCAGAAGTCGGGGGACGGTAAACAGGGGCAGTGGGGCAGAATGCTTCCAAGTTGCGTATCAAGGTGCTGGGCTCTGGGTGGCATGTCAGGGCGTCGGTCCTGACCAGATCCCGTCACTGCCTTGTTCCCCTTTCCCTCTCTCCTGGGGCCAGGATTTCTATAGCCACAGCAACTGGGTGGAGCTGGGGGAGCGGCAGCCACACCCTCACCTCCTCTGGCCAAGGCCGGAGCTCTGGAGCCTGGCACAAGGTATGGCCGTGACCCGGTGTGGAGCCCGTTCTCAGAGCACCCACGCAGTGTCACCTGGGGCCTCATGGGATGTGACGTTGCTTTACTCCCGCAAGGAGCAGGAGGTTCTTCCGCCTGGCGATGGCTGGAACCGCTCAGTGGCTTTCCAAGCAGTGCCCAGGGAAAACATGCGGGAGCGGCCCTCAGCCCTCATACCACACACGCCAGCTTTGTGGTCTTTTCTCCCTGGGAGCTGGCTCCTGCCCGCTACGGGGCCCTAGCATGTCTGTGGTTCAGACAGCAGAATCCCCATAGCGTGGTGACCCACTCTCCTGGGCGCCAAGCACCCCCAGGTTCAAACATGCCAACACTGACCCTGGGATTTAGTGCAGCTGAAAGGAAGGTGTTGGGTGGCATCTTCCCGGCAGCCCCTGCCCTCTGTCCCCAGTGGCTGATCCTACCTGCTCTGACTGTGAGGGGCTCAGCTGCCCCGGGAATATGCTGGATTCCACGCTGCTCACCTCTGGCTACTTCGGAAGGCATCCCCCGAAACCTCCAGGTACCGGACGGACGGGAAAGCTCCCCAGAAGGAAGAGGAGAAGGTCACTTCCTTTGACTGTAACACAGGATCCTGGCTGCATCTCCTTAGGAGAGGCCATTGGGATAGGGCCAGGATGGGTGGCTAAGGGCCCTCTGAGGAGACTCGTCATCCTCTCCTGCCCTGAGCAGGGCTGGGGACTGGGTACAGAGACGGCTCTCAAGTATCACTACTTCCTGCTGCTCCCGAGCTGGTCGGTTGGTCGTGGGGGAAGGGAGGGGCGGGCGGGCGGGCGCTTGGCCCTCACCTGCCACACCTCTCCCCTACCCAGGGAAGTGTAGCCACGGGGGCCATTTTGACCAGAGCAGCTCCCAGCCACCCCGAGGGGGCATCAACAAGGACAGCACGTCCCCCGGCTTCTCCCCACACCACGAGCTGCACCTCCAGGCCGGGGAGGTGGCTCTCCTGGCCTCCATCGAGGCCTTCAGCCTCCTGCGCCGCCGCCTGGGAGACAAGGGTTTCTCCAGGTGGGTCGCCGTCCCTGGGGCCCAGGGAGCTGCCCCGGAGGGCAGGGGTGCAGAGCCTTCACCGAGAACCTGCCTCGGACCACAGGCTGCTGGACATCACCCCAGCTTCCAGCCTGAGCTTTGTCCTGGACACCACGGGCAGCATGGGGGAGGAAATCAACGCGGCCAAGATCCAGGCTCGGCACATCATGGAGCAGCGGCGAGGCAGCGCCCTGGAGCCCAGTTCCTACGTCCTGGTGCCCTTCCACGACCCAGGTAGGGAAGGTGGAGGGAAGAGGCCTCCAGTGACAGGTGGAGGGCCCTTCTCCCTGTTGTCACGAGTGACCTGCTGGGCACCAGCGTCCACTCAGAAGCCAAGGCCGCCTCTGCCATCTCTAAAGCGGCGGGCGGCACTTTCACCCGTCCAGCGCCTGCTCAGGCCGAGTCTTGGCTCCCTTAGTCTTCTGTGCTAATACACCTTTGGGGTTTTTTTTGGCTTAGAAAGTGTGGGTGACTGTTTTGCCTTCATGATGCTCTGCACACTGTGTCCCTGTGGAGGACAGGAAAGGGGGTGGGATCCGAAGCCACGGAGTGACAGGTGGTCGGGAGAACCGCCCATGGTCCCTGGGGACAGCGGGACGGCAGGGACGGTGGGGACGGCGGCTCCCCGGCTGCCGCTGTAGTCACAGTAGGATGAAGATGGGTGTTGAGTCTCTGCTCCTTTCCCAGCTACGTGGCGGGGCCTGCTGGCCGTCCTGCACCGGTGGGCTGGACTCCAGCCTGGCTGCAGCACCCTGACTCGGCCCGTCCCTAGCTTACCGTAACTTCAGGGGAAGACTCGACCCTGATTTATCTCACAGTGTCTTGTAGCGAGAATTCTGCAATGTGGGTTTCCTTTAAGAAAACAGGAATGTTATGAGCGCATGCTTTCGCTTTAACCCCAGGTGTGGGGACGCGGGGCCGGTTGGCAGCAGCTGGCTGTGACTGCCTCGTGCTCTGGCACGGGCCTGCCAGCTGCAGTTAGCGTCTTCACTTGTGTGACGTTTGGAGTTCCGGGAGCTTTTCAGAGGGTGCATGAACTCTAGAGCCCGGAAGGTGGGGCTCACGGTTGGTGGTCTTTGGGGGGGGGTTGAGGTTTGTTAGTGGCCGTGGCAGGATGTGAAAACGGGGATAAGGAAGGACCCACAAAGTAGCAGCACAGGCGAGGAAATCTACAGCGTCTCGCAGTGGGTAGGGACCTGCCACATGGCTGGTGGCACATGAACCAGGAACATGGCAGCACTGTGTCCAGGCTCTCTTGTAAGGCTTACGAACTCACGAGCCCATTCGGCCCTCGGGGAGCCCTCGGGTGAGAGCTGGTTTTTTCACGACATTCTAAAGGGCCTGGAGAACCGGCAGTGAGGAGCTCTTGCTGCTCTTGCAGAGGACCTGGGTTTGGCTCCGGCTCCCTCACTTGCTCTGCCCTCGACCCTCATCGGCCTTCCTTTCTCCCTGGCCAGGGTTCGGCCCTGTCTTTACAACCAGCGACCCTGACAGCTTCTGGCAGAAACTCAGCGAGATCCATGCCCTGGGCGGAGGAGATGAGCCGGAGATGTGCCTGTCTGCCCTGGAGGTCAGCCGTAGCCCTCGCCCTCTTCCCCTGCCCTTCCAGGCCCGGCCACCAGGAGGAGCCAGAGCCACGCGCCCTCCCTCGTCTTCCGCCACAGCCTTGGCCCCAGCTTCCCTGGGGCTCTGACCTCCCAGTTCTACCGCGCCCCTGCCGGTTTTTTAACGCCAGCCTCTTCCTCCTCGCCAGCTAGCCCTGCTGCACACGCCCCCGCTCTCAGACATCTTTGTCTTCACTGACGCCTCCCCCAAAGATGCCTTCCTCACCAACCGCGTGGAGTCCCTGAGCCGGGAGAGGCGCTGCAGGGTGAGCACAGCCAGTGCCGGCACCCCAAGATGGGGAAGGTGGGAAAGCCGCCTGGCGGGAGGTCACCCCGCACCTGTCACGCGCGCCACAGTGGGAGGCCGGGCCCTCAGCAATACCGACCTGTTCCTACTGAACGGGTCCAGTTAGCTGGAAGAACCCGGCTGAGTGAGGCCACCAAGCAGCCAGTGCTGGTTCGGCCGTCTGCAGTCTGAGCCCGGGCAGGGATTGTAGGTGGATTTAAAGACACAGTACAACTTTGGAAAGCAGTTTCCTGGTACTACCACAGTAAAGCTCTAAAGGCCACGGGATCTCTGCCGACTGAGAGACAGTGCTCAAGCGAGAGGTGTAGGCACTGTCCGCACACTCCACTGTACTTGGGGTTCCTTAAGCCTCGATCTCCCTTCCGACCCCCGACCCTATGTAGGAGAGAAAGAAGGTTAAGGGAAGGGGGGAGGGCTGGAGAGACGGCTCAGTGGTTAAGAGCACTGGCTGCTCTTCAGAGCAATTCCCAGCGACCACACCGTGGCTCACAGCCATCTAGAGTGAGATCTGGTGCCCTCCTGGTATGCAGGTGGACAGCTTTGTCCGGCTTTTGGGGCAATGCCAGTTCATAGTCTGCTATTCAGCAGTCCAGGTAACTAGCAGCTCTCTTCTTTCTCCGTCCACCGTGTCCTTAAGCCTTGTCTCTGTTGGTCCGCCTCCTCCAGGCCACCACCCCTTCTCTCTCTGGGCTCCCCCCAAGTCCTCACAATTACGCTAACTGCAGCTGGCAAAGACCAAATGAGGCAATTAGGAGCTGTGGACAAACTAAGGCAGTCCCTTATCCCACATCTGGGATTAAAACAAAAACATATTCACATAACATAAGTGAGTTTTTAAAGAAACCCAGACCCCCACTCCACAGAGGTCTAGGGAGGAAGAGTCTGGGGATTCCGGTGAGGCCTGGCCCTACAGACAGCACAGGTCACAGGGTTAACTGCATTCGTGCCCTCTGCCCGGGCGGATGTGCGTCTCCGCTGGAGAGGCAGCCATTCCTGGCTTCCTGAGTTCCTCCTATCTGTGCACATGAGGACCTTGTACCCTCTGACTGGGCAAACAGGTGGGCTGCAGCTCCGTGGTGTTTACATGTGTGGTCCCGGGACCAACCCCCAGCACCACGCTGGGCAAAAAGTAAATCCTAGTATAAAATGAATTCTCCAAAGTCCCTCAAACGTGGTGCCAGTTCTCCCAGGGCTGTGCCATGGGAGGTCCACACCAGCCAGGGGCAGACAGCTCTGGAGAAGGCAGAGGAGAGGAGCCGTCATTTACAATGCACGCAGCGTTGGCTGTCATTTGGCCTCAGGTGACATTTCTAGTGACTGAAGACCCGTCGAGGGCTCAGGGTCGCGTGCGGCGGGAGGTCTTGTCTCCTCTGCGTTTTGCACCGTATGAGGCGATCGCCCTGGCGTCGGGAGGAGAGGTGATCTTCACCAAGGACCAGCACATTCAGGATGTGGCGGCTGTTGTCGGGGACAGCGTGGCTGGTCTGGTGAGTGAGCAGAGTCCGTAGGTCTGAGGTGCCGCCGCTTACAGGCTCTGACAGGAGGTCGGGGAGGAAATTTTCTCTTCCCGTGAGATCTGTGGCATCTCTGAAGGGAGGGACAAGAAATGATGGCTTCGGGGCTGGAGAGGTGGCTCAGTGGTTAGGAGCACTGTTTGCCCTTCCAGAGGTCCTGGGTTCAGTTCCCAGCACCCACATAGCAGCCCACAGCTGTCTGTAACTCCAGTTCCAGGGGCTCTGATGCCCTCACGCAGACACACAGGCACACCACCAGGGCACCTAAGACTAGACAGATAAGGAATCAATCAAAGAAAAGAAATGGGGGCATCACTCTGCACCTCCCCTCCAGCTGCCGCCGAGCGCACCAGGGCGTCCCTGGTCCGGTGCCCCGAGACCGACGTCCCTTCTCCCCCTGTGGCCACTCGGGCCATCTCTTTGTCCCTGTCCCCACCTCACCCCAGGCTTTCCTTTCTCCTCCTGTTCCTGCGCATATCTGCAGGTGACTCTTCCCCTGGAGCCGCCCGTCTTCAGCCCTGGGGAGACGTGCGCCTTTACCGTGGACAGTCTGCTCCGGCGGGTGACGGTCCGGATGCACGGGGACATCAGGAGCTTCCTGATCAAGAGCCCTGCAGGTACCGGAACGTGGGGCTCAAGGCAGACAAGATGGAGAACTGGAGAACGGGGTGCTGTGCAGAGTGGAAAGAATTTCTTCATCTGACTGACTCTTGTCCCCACCCAAGGGGTGTCCCAGGGCCCGGAGGAAGGCGTAGGTCCTTTGGGTCACACTCGCCGCTTTGGACAGTTCTGGACGCTGACCATCACTGACCCCCCTCAGACAGGGTCTTGGGAGATCCAGGTAGAAGCTGAGGGGACCCCGCGGGTGAGAGTGCAAGGTGAGGAGACAGGGTCCCTGGGGCCGGGGGTGCTGGGCGGTGCTGGGCGGTGCTGAGCGGTGGTCCTCTCAGGGTCTGACCGCCTCCCTTCCCAGCTCAGACCTCCCTGGACTTCCTCTTTCACTTCGGGATCCCTGTGGCCGATGGACCCCACCCTGGCCTCCAGCCGCTGACTCAGCCCGTGGCAGGTAGCGCTGAGCTCCGCCGACTCAGTTCACTGCCCCAGCCCGCGTGGGTGCGTGTAACCGGCTGCGCGTGTGTCTTGTTGATGAGTGAAAAGCACTAACACGACCCAGCTCGAGACGACACTGCTCAGTGCCTTCTGCCTCCTCCGGTTCCCACCGCAGGTCTCCAGACGCAGCTGCTGGTGGAGGTGACGGGGCGGCTCTCCGGACAGAGCCTTGCCGGTGGCCAGCCGAGTTTCTCCCACCTTGTCCTTCGAAGGGTCCCGGAGGGCACGCGTCTGGGCCGGGTGCCCTTGGAACCCGTGGGGGCCCCCGAGCGAGGCCTGCTTGCCGCCTCCCTGTCGCCCACGCTGCTGTGGGCGTCTGCACCCTTCTCCCTGGAGCTGGTCGGCCGGGACGGAGCGGGCCGGCGCCTGCGCAGGGCGGCCCCCCAGCCTTGCGCGGTGGCCCCTGTGCTTCTGGAGGTGAGGGGGGGCGTGGGCGGGCCGGGAGGCGAGAGCCGAGCCTGCCTCCTGACCCGCCCTTCCCCGCAGCTCAGCGGCCCGCCAGCTTCCCTGGCTCCGGGCAGCGAGGCCCCTCTGAGCCTCCGGGTGGCCAGCTTCTCTGGCCCCCAGGATCTTGACCTCAGCACGTCGGTGAACCCCGGCTTCACCCTCACCTCCAACCTCTCCAGGTGAGCCGGCTCCACCTCTGCGGGGTCCTGGCCCTCCCCAGTCAGCTCCGCTGAGGTCGGGGCTCAAGGACTCCTCCCAGCCCCAACCCTGACCCTCGGTCGGTCCTCAGTCCTGTCCTATGCCAGGCTCCACCTCAAGGCTTCGGCCTACCAGGAGCTTTCTGTCTGACGCAAGGCTGTCCATTCCGCAGGGCTAGCCTGGGACGGAATGAGTCCGCCTGGGGACGCCTGTGGCTACAGGTCCCGGATTCAGCAGCTCCTAATAGCGTGGTGACAGTGACAGTGACGGCAGCAGGTCAGGGAGCCCACCGGGCGCCCCCAACCCATGCCTTCCTCAGGCTCCTGGTGCTGGGCGCCGGGTCGCAGGTGAGGCGCTTCCTCGTGGGTCCCTCCTCTCCCAACCCCCGACGGAGGCTGGCAGGTGGAGGCTAGCACCCCTTCCTTTCTCCCCTCTGCAGGAGCAGCTGGAGGCCCCGCCCACTCTGCTGCCCCCCGCGCCCCCTCCAGCCACACCTGCCCCGATTCCTGCCACATTGGTGCCTCAGGGCGGAGCTGGGGGAGGGGTGGTGGGCAGAGCCTGGTGGGGAACAGTTGGAGGGGTGCTGCTTCTGCTAGGCTGTGCGTGCTGGTGACCTGGTGACCGGCAGCCCCCACAGGGAGGGACAGGACTCCAGCGTGTGTCGGGTCTGCCCCATAGATGGGACGTTCCTTGGCTCCAGGGCCCGGCCCTCCTGACTGGCTTAGGGATTTTTCTTCTGTCACACTTGTCCGCCATCCTTCTGTAGACCAGGCTGGCCTGGAACTCACAGAGCTCCACCTGCCGCTGCTGGATTACAGGCCTGCGCCGCTGCCTGGCTCCCCTATCTGGCATGATGGTGGCCACCTCCATGGCTGTATTGGGGAGCCTGGTAGGATTGCTGCTGTGAGTTCAAGGCCAGCTTGAGCTGTGAGAGCCTAGCTCAAAAACAACATCAACCAAACCCGAGAGATAGGGTTAGAGGGTAAGGGATTTCCCGTGGGGTGAATCTGAATAGGAAAGGAACGAAAGCCTTTTTTTTTTTTTTTTTTTTTAAGAAAGTTGCTGTTTATTCCAGGAGGAGGAGAGCAGGCCCCAGAAAGCGCACGGTCCTCAGGTTAAATCCCAGAGTAGCTTCTTCGGCTCAGTTTTGCTTTAAAGCTGATCGTGCTGTCTTCCCAGAGACGGTGCGGAAAGATGTTTTTCTGCACACGGCATGGGGGCGAGGGAGGACGGGGCATCAAGAGATGCCGTGCGCAGCTCTAGGAGCTGCAGGTCCATTTTACACCTCGGTGTCTGTCGGCTGACCCGCCACCTGGAGCCTCGGCTGTGTGGGGGCGGGGCCGGGGCCGGGGCCGTTGGTTCTGGTCCGCCTCCTACCTCACCAGTGCAGGGAGGGAGGGTTTACACAAGGGTGGGGCCCTTCTGGCCCTGCAGGGAGCCTGGCTGAGCCAGCTCTCTGGTGGACAGGGTGACTCCTTTCTGCTGCTTTGACAAGTCCTAGGAGAGGGAGAACCAGACTGGCACCTGCTTCCCACCCTGCCCCAGGGTTTGCCACTGGCCTCAGTTTACCCATTGCTCCCCCAAGTTCTCTTTCCTTGACCTTTCTTCCTGGATCTGGGCTGTGCGGGAACCAGCCTTGTGAGCAGATATGGGGTGGGGGGGCTAAATCGGTGTGACTCCAAAGCCCCCTCCCCACGCCTACAAATTGGAAACAATAAACTGACCTTCTGAATCAGTCGGCTCAAACAGGCATTCACCTTCTGAATCTGGGTTAGCTGGGGGAGGCCGGCCTCTGAGGGTGGGTCCCGTAGAAAGTCCTAGAGGGGTTGGAGGGCCACAGTGTTGTGAAACAGGGCCTCCTGCTCTGCTGCTGCTTCATCACCGGCCATTCGGCTGTTCCCCCACCCCAGAACTTTTCCAGGCAGGTGGAGTCCAGGCCTCTCCATGTCCATCCATCTCAACTTTGCAGCTCCCTTCAAACTGCCTGGAACCCTCCCCCCGCCCCTCCCCCACTCCTGCTCCCTATGGGTCCTCCAAGCCTGTCTGCCCGGGAAAGAGACACCCAGCCCTCCCCCTCTCCCCCGTGGAGTGGCCAAATGGAGTCCCTTTGACTGGAATGCAGACAAGCCCCTTCCAGCCCAACAATGAACACTGTCGGATGGGGCATCCTGTCAGTCCAATGCTGTTGCAGCTCCTGATCCCTGCCTGTTAACCCTCCCCTTGCCAGAGCAGGCTCTGCCAGGTCCACAGGCTCCCTGCCTCCCCTCCCCCAGCCCGTGCGCAGAAGGCTGCCCCTACCTCCCCGAGGGCCCCCAGATGCAGCTGCCGATGCTGTGCCTCCCTCAGGCGGTCTGCAAACCAGGCTTGGCCACGCTCCAGCAGCTCCAGGCCCTGCCACAGAGCGTCTTGTTCCCTCTCCAGAGCCTGCATCCTCTGCAGCTGGCTTAGACAAGAAACAAGCCAAAGCTCTCTCTCCAGCGGCACCCTAGCTAGGGCCATCTCTCCTAAAGGGCTCACTATCTGGCCACCAGGTGTGAGCTCAGACTGCCCACTGAGGGCTTGGATGGCAAGGGACACAGGGAAAGCCTGTGGGACGTCCCAAGACCGGGTTGATCTACACTCACCCAGAGGAAGAAGCTCTGAGCCCCCGGGTCTCGTCGGCTCGTCCCCAGTGGCAGCAGCAGAACGGTGTAGGGCACTTGCGCCAGGGGTGACCCGCCAGGACCTGGTCTCTCCATGGCTCTGCACTGGGAAGGGCGGAGCCAGGGCTGGTCCCTCCCCAACCCATCTGCCCGTCCTGCCTGGTCTTTCAGCCTGAGTCCAGGGTAGTTGACTTAAGGCAGGGAAGAGGCAAAGAGGCAGCCTCCTTAAACTGTGTCCTCCATCTTTCCAGCGTCTGACGTGGCTTGTCCTGAGTCCCAAGGGCAGAGTCTGAACTCATTTAAGTTCTTACTTATGTTGAGACAAGGTGTCCCCATGTAGCCCTGGCCAGCCGGGACCTCACTGTATAGACCAGGCTGGCCTTAGACTTGGAGGTCCACCTGCCTGTGTTCCCAGTGCTGGGAGCCTGATTGAGTTTATTTATATATTAGCTTCTGTGTGTTTGCGTGTGTCCACATGAGTTCGGTGCCTCACACGTGTGTCCCAGAGCCCATGGAGACTAGAAGAGAGCATTGGGTCCCTTGGAGTTGAGTTGATGTGGATGTGGGGCCTGGAAGGAAACCCAGGCCCCTGGCGAGGGCAGCCGGTGCTCCCAGCCACTGAGCACCCCACCAGAGTGTCACTATTTCTGGCTGACTGCTCCCTGTCCCAGGGCTCCTGTCGTCCCGATGGATGACCTAGAGAGACACTTGATCCAAAAAAGCCTTTATTCCTAACACAAAACATGTGCAAACGACAGAAGGAAAGTGCGGAGGCGCGGGGCTCGGGGAGCTGTGAGGGCGGAGGGGACCCTCAAAGGATGGTGGGGGCAGCGGGCAGCACTTGCTGACTCATGAAAGCGGCCAGGTCCACAGCGGGGTCCTCCAAATCCAACTTGAGGAACTTGTCCACCAGTGCCTGGCAGCTGCAGGGAGAGAGCCATGTGGTTGGGGGTCATCAGCTCCAGGTGCGGGCTGTGTACACAGCAAGCTGCAACCCCGAGGAGCTCAGGGTTTCAGGAACAGCCATGGGTTCTGTGCTGGCTTTGTCATTTTCTGATGTAGCCCAGGCTGGTCTTGAACGCTGGGATTACAGGCGTGTGCCAGCACACCTGGCTTGCTGAGGGGAAGGGCTCGGGCTGCAGGAAGGCTGCCTGAGGCCAGGCGAAAGGGAGGAGACAGTGGGCGATGCTGAGGGTGGCCGCTGGGCCACACTCACTTCTCCATTTGGTTCCTCCGTAAGAGCTCATGCACCGGCTTGATGGGTTTTCCCCTTCGGACCAAGTCTGAGACCTAGACAGGAAGACAGTGGGAGGCCGGGAGAGCGGTGGGGGATGAGGGTCAGCAAGCCTGTGGCTAGAGGCCCAGTCTCCCAGAGCAGCAGCCATGAGGATGCAGAGAGAGCTTAGAAATTGAGAGTGTTTCCCTCGCGCCTCACAGAGGACCCAGGTTCAAGTCCCAGCCCCCACATGGCAGCTCACAACCACCTGCAAGCCCAGTGCCCCAAGAGTTGATGCCCTCTCTACTTGCACAGGCAGCAGCCACGTGGGCATACATAAACTCAGGCCAGCACTCCTGTGCAGGTGTGCGAGCAGGGAGCCCCGAGGGGGAGGGGCTGCACACAGGCCCTCAGTACCTCTTTGCCACGAGCAATGAGCTGGTCAGGAAGCCCCGCCTGGGCAGCTGTGTGGGAGGCGTAGCTGGCACTGGCAACACCTTGGCAGAGCTGATAGAAGAAGACAAGATCGTTCCCATCCTCACACGTCTCCATGGTCTTAAAGAGAGCAAACAGTGGCAGGGTGCCCTCAGTCACCTGGGCACTGCAAGGGAAAGGCCCTGGGCTGGGGTGACTTCCTCACCAAATACTGCACCAGCGGGCTCTGCGGCAGCAGCTGCAGCTGGACGAGGCTCAGGAAGTTGGTGGCCACAAAGATGTGGGGGCAGCTGGGTCCCAGCGCCAGCCAGTGACGAAGCACAGCGGCCAGAAGGGCCAGGCCGTCCACCTGCAGAGGTGAGGGGCAGAGCGGCGGCCCTGGGCCCTTCCTACCTGCCCTGGCTTCCCCCTGCCCCTGCCTACCCATCTCCATTCCTTCCCCTCCATCCCCCTCCTTCCTTCACCCCTCATCACTCCCTCCTCACCGTGTTGGTTCCCTTCCCGAATTCGTCAATGAGGACCAGTGACTGCTCTGTGGCATTGTTCACAGCTTTCGCCACCTGCTGGGCGTGAGGGGACAAGGGCGCTTGGGGGTTGTGATGTGAATAAGCTCCTTACGTGTCCACCCCTAAGCCAGGATCGGTTTAACAGTGACAACCCTATTTGCTCAGCCTTCACTTGCCAGCAGTAAGGGAGTCACACAAAGGAGTCTCAAGAAACGTTTATGATGCTCCCTCCAGACTCTGGCCGGTGCTCCCTGCCAGAGTACAGAGGACATGCCGCCCAGGAGACACGCCCTCCAACACTTGTGGGGGCACAGTCCCTCCCCTGCCTGCTTTTGCTCCCTTTAACCTGGTTGAGGTCAATCATGAAGGTGGAGAGACCGAGGGAGATGGACTCGCAGCTGTGAATCCGGGTGAAGATGGCATCGATCACCCCAATCTCAGCCTCCTCAGCGGGCACGAAGCTGCCGACCAGAGCCATGAAGGTGATCAAGCCTACCTGGGCAGGGGAGACAGGGCATGGACCTGGTGCTCTGGGAAAAGTAAAATGGGTCTCAACTAAAGACGTGATGGACAGATTACAGAGAGGCACGTCATAACAGAACACGCTGTCCCGTGTCCTGACTTCTCAGTTAACTCCAGAGTCAGGGCCGTGGGTGAAGGCATTCTAGGGAATGGCATTCAACCTCTTGGAGGTTGTCAAGGGACTGTGACCACGGAAGGTCTATCCCGAGGAACTGGCTCTCCTTGGACGGGGATGCGTGCTGCAGGGAGCGAGGATTCGGCCTGGCCGTCCTGGTTTGGAGGCTCCTCACCTGTTTGAGGTATATGCTCTTCCCTGAGGAGTTGGGTCCAGTGATCACTCTGACCCTCCCTTGGTCCCCACCACAGTCTGTGGAGTTGGGCACGAAGGTGCGCGCACACAGCTCCATCAGAGGGTGCCTGTGGTGGAGAGACGCTGCGTGGGCTGTGGGTCCAGGTGGATGAACCCCCATGCCACAGGACGGAGCCGATGGGCACCATGGCTCCATCTCTCTCTTCTCACCTGCCGTTCTTGATTCGCACTCCGTGCATTCGGGGAGAGTAGTGCGGCCTCGAGTAGCCATAGTCCCGGGCAGCACTGGCAAGAGCAAGGAGGACATCCAGGCGGGAAGCAAGGTCCAACACCCGAGTCAAGACCGGAGCCCGGGCCAGCACCTGGTGCTGCAGCTGGTGCATCAACAAGGTCTCCTGGTCTGGGCAAGGGGCGAGGGTCAGTTTTCAGGGACAGGGAAGGGGGCGTCCTCGGGAAGCTCTGCAAACAGGCTGCATGCAGTGCGACCCTCCCGAGGGACACGGGCACGCAGGTGCAGTGTGACCCTCCCGGAGCCCCGAGTTGGAGAGAGTGCAGCGCCCGCCTGCCATGGCTGCTCACCCCGGATCTCGCAGTGAAGGTCCCCCAGCAGGGCATCCAGCTCCTTGGTTCGGGTACTCCGGTAGTGCAGCTTGTCCTCCGAGAGAAACTGGGTGCAAGGGTTCCAAGTTCCAGGCTTGCTGTCTCTCATTTCTCGTTTTGCTTTGTTTTGTGACAGGACTTAATATGTTGCCCTGGCTGGCGTGGAACTCACAGTGATCCCCCTGCCCCTGGGGCACCACCCTGCCCAGCGGCATTCCTTCCCTGAGATCCCTCTCCTCTCCACCCTCCTGAACCACCTCCAGAGCCCCTGACTCCTCTGTCTCAGGGCCAATAAAGCTTCTCCAGCCACAAAGGTGGCTGAACATCCTGGCCAGTGCTCATGGGCTGAGAGCCTCCTTCCAGCTTCACCGGCTCATCACACCCTCCCACCACCCAGAGACCAGGCCCCTACCATGAAGTCTAGTCCCTCAATCTCAAAGTCACTGGCCTCCACCATGAACGGCAAGCGCGGAATGGAAAGAAGGAAGCCAATCTGGGGAGAGAGGAGACAGAGTGGGCTACCCTACTAACCCTGAAGGAAGCAGACCCCAGGGGGGGCCACCCCTCTGGGAGAGCTACCATCCTCAAATGTAGTCATGTCCTGCACTCTAAGGTTGCTCAGGTGGGACAGCGTGTCGGCCACTGAGTGCCGGGATTGGTCACGCTGGCTGGTCGATGTCCTGTCCCCCTCTCCCCACTCTCTCCAGCCTTCCTGTACGTCACTGCAAGACTCCTAGAGGCTCCAGCCTCCACCCTGCGCTCACCAGAGGGATGTAGATGACACTACAGGAAGGGACACGAGAGTCCAGATTCTCCAGCTCTTTCTGTGCCACTTCAGTGAGGAAGCTGGGGAGGCCCATCAGCCTTCGCTTTTCTAGGCATGGAAAACAGTACACGCTTGTGAAAAAAAAGTAGGGTCCAGAGAGATAGCTGGAGAGATGGCTCCTCTTCCAGAGGTCCTGAATTCCATTCCCAGCACCACACAGCTGCTCACAGCTGTAATTCCTGCCCCAGGGATCCAACACTATCACACAGGTACACATACAGTCAAAACACCGATGTCCATAAAGTAAAAATAAATAATTAAAAAATAGGAGGATTAGGGGCTCAAGGCCAGCCCTGACCACATGAAACTTTCAAAGTCCTAATTAGCCAGGCATGGTGGTGGCGCACACCTGTAATTCAAGCACTAGGGGAGGCAGAGGCAGGCAGATCTCTGTGAATCCCAGGCCAGCCTGGTCTACAGAGCCAGTCCAGGACTGCCAAGGTTTCACAGGGAAACCCTGTCTCGAAAAACAGCAACAAAAATGTAAAAAAAAAAAAAAAGTCCTGATTAGCGAGGCAGGGTGGTGCTGCCAGTGATCCAAGCATTCCAGGCGGAAGTAGGAGGGTCAGGAGTTCAAGACCATCGACTGAGTTTGAGGCTAGCCCGTGCTACCGGGGACTGTCTTTGCCCAGTTGCAGAGCTGACTCCCCGTTATGGTGCCTGGGCCAGACTGAGTTTGAGGCTAGCCCGTGCTACCGGGGACTGTCTTTGCCCAGTTGCAGAGCTGACTCCCGTTATGGTGCCTGGGCCAGGAATGGCCGCCCCCGTGCCCAGCACTCACTCTCGTCCATTTCGGGATCTATGTCGGGGAGGACTGTGAAGCGATTTTCAGCAAGACTTTCCTCGAAATTCACCTGAGGAGACAGGTTAGAAGTCATTTCTTAGCGGGCCCTGTCTCTGTCCCCCACCCCAGCTCTCCTTGCACCCACCCCCTGTTCTTGGATCCTCCTCTTCAGACACTTCCGGTCACCACCCTGTCTACTAGATCCCACCATCCTCCACGCTTCCCGCCCTCCCACACTGCACTCCCCACGCCCGACCCTCTCCACTCCGCCGCACTCTTCTTCCTTGGTGTCTGTCTCTCTGCCACTCACCACCTTCCCAATGAGGCTGGCGATGTGGTACAGATCATCAGAGAACTCTTGGGCGATGTCCTGAAAAAGCTGGATGGACTGGGGCAGGGAGCGGCAGGCATCCCTCAGGCCCAGGGCGCTGTACACAGTCTGCGGGAGAGATGACCTAGGAAGTTGACCCATGCAGGGAGCCCAGGGAGGGACATGGACAGACTGAGAACAGAGGCCAATGGGGAGCACCGAGAAGTTAGCAATGCAGAAAGACATAAGGACACATGTAAAAAATACATGGAGCCAGGTGCCATGGTGCAAGCCTTTGGGAACATCCAGGAAGGCAGAGGTAGGTGGATGTCTCTGAGTTCGAGGACAGCCTTATCTACAGAGTGAGTTTTGGGACAGACAAGGCTACACAGAGCAACCCTGTCAACCACAACCCCCCAAAAACAAAAATCAAACAAACAACAACAACAAAACATGAAAAGAGGAGGATAAGAGAGAGATGGGAGTAAAAGTCAAAAGACAAGAGCTAGGGAGGTGGCTCGCAAGTAAAGGTGAGGGCCGCCAAGCTGACAGCCTGCGTCCAGACCCCGCACGGTAGGAGAGAGCTGCCCTGCAAACCTCCCTTCCCTGGCCACACACACTGTGTGCGCCCGCATCCGCAGTGATGTAATTAAAAAGTGAAGTGAGGACAACAGGGTGACAACTTTTAAAACTAAAAAAGAGAGAGGGGCATGATGGTGCCCACTTTTAATTAAAGCACTCAGAAGGTAGGCAGAGGAAGGCAATCTCTGAGAATTTTAAGCCAGCCTGGTCAACATAAAGAGTTCCATGCCAGCCAGGGGCACATAATGAGACCCTGTCTCCAAAAAAATAAAATAAAATTTAAAAAAGGTAAGTAAGTGAGTGAATGAAAATGGCCCTTGTGGCCCACAGGAAGTGGTACTACTAGATGTGTGGTCTTGGAGGAGGAAGTGTGTCACTGGAGACGGGCTCTGGGGGCTTAGATGCTCAAGCCAGGCCCGGCGTCGCTGTGTCTTCCTGCTGCCTGCGGATCAGGATGTAAAGCTCTCTGCTCTTCCCCAGCACCATGTCTGCCTGTGGGCCTCCATGCTCCCCACCACGATGGCCATGGACTAAATCTCTGAACTGTGAGCCAGCCCCAGCCAAATGTTCTCCTTTTATGAGGGCTGCTGTGGTCATGGTGTCTCCTCAAGCAACAGAACACTGTCTGAGGCAATAACTACGTAAAATAAAAATTTAACTATGCTGTACAATTACGTAAACTATTTAGTCATATCAACCCAGACAAAGCATATGTGACTAATTAAAGCTTCTATCTCAGTTTCTTCTCACTACTAATATCAAACCTCATGGATCCTGAGAGATGACTCGGCAGTTAAGAGCACTTGTTGCGCATTAGGCCACCAAGACTTGGTTTCCAGCACCCCCGTGGTGGCTCACAACTGTTCCTAACTCCAGTTCTAGGGGATCTGCTGCCCTCTTCTGGCCTCTCCAGGCGTGGCGTGCACATGCTGTCTAAACATGCGTACAGGCAGACACTCCTACACAGGCACACAAACAGGCAGAACACTGTATACCTAATGAAGTATTTCTTTAAAAAAAGAAAAAGCAAGCCAGCAAGGAAGAAAGACTAGTAGAACAACAGGAGGTGGGGCCTTGTGGCTCTGATATTGAGCAGGGATATCAGTTCCGGCTTTTTAATAACCACAATGAAATTATTTGTGGATGAACTAATATAATGGCTTGCAGATGAAGAGATTGCTTTGAGTGAAATTACTGAAGCCGAATGGTTGGGCTATAAGGGGAGTAATTACACTACTCCCTGCAAATATTTTGTATAGTTTCTGCAACACAAAGTTTAAAAAGAAACATCAGCAGGTAATGTGTGGCAGGGTGTCCAGAGAGAAGAAGGAGGTCTGGACACAGGAAGCAAAAGTTTAACTTGGACTTCTGGATCTAAGAAGAAAAGCCTGAAATCCCAGAACTCACGGAATGGGCAGGAGGATGCTAAAGAAGAGGCCAGCCTTGTCTGCATCTTGAATCAATCAATTAGTCAAGAGGCTTACCTTGTAGAGGACCTGCCAGTCACTGACCTTGGTGTAGGACAACTTCATGCGTTTCAGAATCAGCTACAAGCAGACAAAGGGACAGCCACGGTTTGCCATTTGCCATATGACGCTCCTCAACAGGCCCACTGTCCAGGCTGGACAGAGGCTGTCCCAGAGGACCCAGGTTTGGTTCCCAGCACCCACACCAGGAGGTTCTGGCTTTTGGCCTCTGCAGTCACCCACACTCACATACCCCACACCTAAGTTTCATTTGTTGTTTGAGACAGTGTCTCATTATGTAGCTCTGACTGAACTAGAAACCGCTATGTAGACCAGGCTGGCCTGAGATGCACAGGCCTGGCTATACATGCTATCATTAAAAATAAAATAAATCTCAGGCTGATTGCGGTGGCTATGCATGCCTTTGATCTCAGTGCTCCAGAGGCAGGCAGATCTCTGAGTTCAAGGCCAGCCTGGTTTATATAGCAAGTTCCAGGACAGCCAGGGCCACCCAGTGAGACCCTGCCTCAACAACAAGTAAACAGCCAGGTGTGCTGGTGCCCAACTTTAACCCCAACACTAGGGTAGGCAGAGGCAGGTAGATCCCTGTGAGTTCCAGGCCAGACAGGATCGCATGGTGAGACCCCACCCAATGTGAAAACAAATTGTAATAAAATACAGAAACGAAGCCCAGAGTTTTCTACAAGCCACCAGCTCACACACACACACACACACACACACACACACACACACACACACACACCCGCCTGGTCTCCACCCTGGCTCACAGGCACGTTCTTGATGTGGCTCAGCAGCCGGTGCAGCACCTGGGCCATGTCCAGGTTCTGGGGCATCAGGAAAAACTGAATGACATCCAGGCGGGAATTGAGCTCCTTCAGCTCCCGGGTTGGGCGCGTAAACCACAGCCTGAAAGGGGAGGGTTGGGGTGGAAAGGTTAGAAGTCGTGTCTTCTCTCATCTCAGTTTTGCTCGGAAATCTCTGGGTCGTGTGGTAACACGTGCCCGCAGCGCTCTTCGGGAATGAGCTAACTGGCAAGGGCGGGGTCCTGTGTATGTGGGCATGTTTCTATGTCCCTGCCGAAAACTGCCGACGTGCGTCTGTAGGGATGAGGCCATGTGTCACTCCACGTGTGTATGTGACGAGGAGCATGTCAATACTTTAGAGGGGAACGGTGTGCTGTGGTGTTTGCGTGCCAACGCTGCAGCTCTGCGCGGCTGAGTCGGGGGCGTGAGTCACTGAGTCTGCCACCGGTAAGTAGCTAACGGCGTCAGGGCAGCAGCTCCTGAAACTGCATCTCCTCAGGCTCTGCCAGTGTAACGCCTGGATCTAGCTCTCATCCTTTCCCTCTCCCACTCTCCCACCCCTTCTTCTCTGTGGCAGCGTTTAGGGTGAGTCGAGGCTTGCTCACTACATAAGCTCTGAGCCACACCCCCAGCCGGCCCCCCCTTTATTTTGAGACAGGTATTCACATAGTTCAGATGGGTTATAGAGCCTCAGCTGACCTGGAACTGCTGGTCCTCTGGCTTCTTCCTGAGTGCTGGGACTACAGGGGTGTGCCACCAGCCCCCTGGCCAGCCTGTCATTCTCTGTGTGTGTGCACTTCTGTGTGTGTGGACTCACGTGCACGGCACTCCTGGAGAGAACTCGGGTTGGTCTGCCCGCCTTTATGTGGGTTCAGGTTGCTAGCACCTTTCCCGTGGAGTTGTCTCATCAGCCCCCAGCCCACAATTCCTTCTTTTTTTCTTGCTTCCTTCCTTCCCTCTTTCTTTTCATAAAATGAGTGTTTGTGTTGTGTGTGTGTTCTCAAGTGCTCGTGTTCTTAAAGAAGCCAAAAAGGGAAGACAGACCCCTTGGAACTGGAGTACAGGGGTTTGTGAGCTGGTAATGGGAATGCTACTCCTCGAATTTTCTTTTTAAAGTTACATTTACTACGTGTGTATGTGTATGGGCATGCATGTGCTATATGCCCATGTAAAGACAGAGGTCAGCTTGTGTGAACTGGCCTTCTTCTTCCATCACAAGGACTGGGACTTGGGTCATCAGATTTCATGGTAAATGCCCACTGAGCGATCTCACTGACACCCAGGCTGCTCTACTCAGCTTATAATTCCTTGTTGTTGTTTTGGAACAGGGTCTCACCATGCAGCCTTGGCCTGGCACTCACAGAGAGCTGCCTGCTCCTGCCTCCAGGGTGATTAAACACATTTGCCATGATGCTCAACTCATCTTTTTTTTTTTTTTTTTTTTTTTGAGACAAGGTTTCTCTGTGTAGCTTCAGCTGTCCTAAACTCATTCTATAGACCAAGCTGGTCTATAGAACGTGCAGAGATACACTTGTCTCAGCCTCCCAGAGTGCTGGGATTACAGGTGTGTGCCACTGTGCCCAGTTCATCTTACAAGCTTTAATAATGACCACCTCTTAGTAGAGAAAGGACTTGAAGAGGCATAGAAGACACTTGAAGAAGTTGTCTGATTCATAAAGGCTGGAGTGTACAAACATTATTAAGCCTTTTGTTGCCAAGAAGTATCACCTAGTGAGTTAGGATGAGCTACTATATAATAACAATGTCCCATTGGTATCTGTTTAATTCTGGGTGTGGGACTCTGTAGGACCTTTTCTACGTTGTAGCAAGCCATCACTTGTGCTAGCTGAGATTATCAATAGCAGACACAGGCTGAGGATTCGGTGTGGGACTGTAGCAGCGTTAGCCTAGGGGTTCTTTTCTACGTTATAGCAAGCCATTCTTCATGCCATCTTAGAGTTACCAAGTGGAGACTCAGAAAGGAGGACGCATACCTCCCATTGAGCCCGCAGCCAGCTACCCAGTCAGAACGCCCAAATTAGAATCAATCTAAAGAGCCATTTCAATTCAAGGGTGGGTTTTAGCCACGCCTGTTCTTCTCCACAGACAAAGAGGGCCTCAGCCACAGCAGTGCAGGCCAGTGTGTGAAGACACCCCCCCCCCCTCCCCGACAGCAGCCTCCCTGAGAAGACTTTCCCAGCGATTACCAGACTCCTGCTCTGTTAACGGTGTGGGAGCCCACCAGCCTCATCCTACAGCCGGGGAAGTGAGGGCCGTTTGCAACCTGTGTAAACCCATACTGCTAATGACAAGTGGATTTTGGTGTCAACCGCAGCTCTGCAGGCTGCTGGGAGCCTGTCAGCTGGGAGCCACTGGACCGCTCCAAGCCTCCTTGAGCCGCCTGGAAATCTGCATTCTCCCATCTCTTTCATATTTGTTTTGTCTTGCTCATGAGCAGAGGATAACCTTGAACTTCTGAATTTTTGCTTCTGTCTCTGCTTTCTGGTGTGCTGGGGAAGGAACCCAGAGCCACATGCCCAGTCCTCACTATCCTTCCTCTTTAAAAAATGTACCTTCTTTAATCCCAGCACTCAAGGAGGCGGAGGCAGGCAGATCTCTGTGAGTTCCAGGCCAGTCTGGTCTACAAAAGGAGTCCAGGACCGCCAAGGCTACACAGAGAAGCCCTGAATTAAACAAAGCGAAACAAAATCGCACATATGTGTTTAAGTCTGCATGAGCATATGCAATGGATATGCAAGTAACGGCCTTTGAGGCCAGAGCGGTCTCAGGCCCCTTGGAGCCGGAGTCCCACGCAGCTGTGAGCAGCCTGGCGTGGCTGCCGGAAACGGAACAAGGGCCCTTCAGAAGGGCAGCAAGTGCTAAGCCACACACAGCCCGCTTAAAAACCACAAAACTCAAAAGAAGCCACAACCTGCCAAGTGCTGGATTACAGGCTACTGCGCCTGGAGACACACACACACACGCACACACACACACACACAAATGATGGTCTTGCTATGTAGCCTAGGGAAGCCTCAAAGTAGTATCTCCCAACCTCACCCTTTCCAAGGGCTGAGGTTACAGGGATTTGCCACCATGCCTGACTCTTTCTCTTCCATGCTAGATATGGTTCGTTCCTGTGATCCCAGCACCCACCAGCCAGACTGAAGGATAACTTGAAGGCCAGCCTGGGGTCCACAGTGAGACCATGTCTTAAAAAACCACACAAAACCCACACTTCTCCCTCGACATCCTTGCTTGAAAGTAAAGATTCACATATACAGCACTGAGGAATATGTGGGTAATTAAGCTCCTCAGAGATTCTAAATCAGCCTCAGAAAGCATATGTTACAGGGGGCTGGGCAGGGAAAGGACTGTAGGCCTGTGTGCTAGCAATGGCTTGTGCTCTGAGGTTCTGGAGGCCGCGCGGCCCCTGTGCTTGCACTCACGTGCTGTGCTGGCTCATTAGCGTTTTACCTACAGGGTTGTGTTAGACAGACGACGGGAACTCAGTACGAGGCAGCTCTTCACTGACTGCTAATTCTAACCTGGTGTGAGAAAGCATTTGACACAGGAGCACAGGAGGTGCGCACCTGCCTTCTCATGTGTGTCTGTGGAGCTTCAGCAGAAAAGGTTACACTTGCTTGACCCTCTAACATGAGATTACATTTGGCAGGGCGGATGCACTACAGAGTGCGTCTAGTGGGAAAGGACTTGCAAGGAGTTTGGGGATTCGAGACTGAGAATGAAAACCCAGGTGAACGGAGGTGCCACGGTCAGCTTTAACTGTCAACTTGACACCGTCTAGAATTACTTCTGAGAATGTCTGTGAGGGGTTATCTCAAGCCACCCACTGTGAGCACCAGTTCCGGGGCTGGGCACCAATAAAAAGGAGAAATCTAGGAAGCATTGGCACACAGGCATGAGTTCACTGCTCTGCTAATTGCAGATACAATAAAGCAACAAGGTTCCTGTTGCCTGGACTTCCCCACAGTGACGTAACCTGGAATGTGAGCTTAATAACGCCTTCTCCCCTGAGTTACTTCTGTCTAAATACTTTGCCACAGCAACAGAAAAGAAACTAAAACAGAAGGGGACCTTAAGCATCACAGTATAAGATCATAAGCCAGGCAGAGTGGCTTATGATCCCAGCACTCAGGGAGGCGGAGGCAGGTGAATTGCTATGAGTTCAAGGCCAGCCTGGTCTACAAAGCAATTGCAGGACAGCCAAGGCTACACAGAAAAACCCTGTCTCAAAAAAAGAAAAAAAAATCATAGCACTACAGATGCTAAGCTTTTCTTGCAATAGGGAGGCATGCGGTTAGTTTCTAGTTAAGACTTTGTAAGAACTGGGGTGACACACTCAGATTTCTGTGTCAGGATAGCACATGGTTTAGAAGAAATGGCTCATTTGGGGAAAGAAGATATTAGAGGCAGAGACATTTTGCAGATAAATGCAATGCTTCTGATTAAAAATCCTGATAGCCAGAATTAGAGTGGTGCAAAGAGAGGAAGGGAAGGCTAAGAGATTTAGGATAGAGACAAGAGACATTAGTGAATAACTGAGTATGTAGGGATGAGGGAGAAGCATCAATCCAAGGTTCCCATCTTGAGATGCTTCGCGGTAAATGCCGTTAACTGAAAAACGAGGCAGGAAGATGTCTGGATGTTCTGAGCTTGCAGTTCTAGGGAAACTATAGGTGGTAACCATAAGTAATTGTCATATCACATGGAATTTTAGACACACAGATTTGGGAGTTAGATGAATAGTTTGTCCTTGTTTTTTGAAAGAGGGTCTCACTGTGTTACGCTGGCTGGCCTCAAACTCAGATCCTCCTGCCTCTGCCTCCTAGGGCTAGGGTTAAAGGTGTGCGCCACCTGCCTGGCTAATTTTTGTTTTGTTGCTGAGATGGGGTCTCCTGTATGAATGTTTGGCCTGCATGTAAGTCTTCGCACACTTTGTGTGTGGTCCCCTGAGGTGAGTCCGGTCCTTTAAAAGTGGAGTGACAAAAAATTGCCAACCTCCTTGTGGGGGCTGGGAATCAAATCTAGGCCTTCTGCAAGTGCAGCAACCGCTCCTAACTGCTGATTCATCTTTTCATGCTGGCCTCCAATTCCTGATTTTACTACATCGGCCCCCGCCCCCCAAAAAGCTGGAATAACAGGGGCATGTGACACCATGCATTTGAATTGCTCAGTTTTGTGTGTGTGTTCGTATGTACATGCTTATGTGTATGTTAGTGCACATGTGAGTTACACACCACGTGAAAGGTAGAAGAACGTGGTTGATATTGGGTACTTTCCTCAATGGGGCTTCACCTTTTCAGTATGTGTATGTGGTTCCATGCCTGTCACAGCGTGATGGATGTCAGAGGGCTTCTCTCAGGAGGGGTCTGGGAGAGCTAACTCAGGTCTCTGTCAAATGTCTCTGCCTGCTGAGATGTCTTGCTAGCCCACCACCTTATTTTTTGAGACAGGTTTTCTCACTGAACCTGTGCCCACATATTTGTCTAGACTGACTGGCAGCAAGCCGTAGGGATCCTTTCGTCTTTGTCCTCCAGCTCTAGTCTAAAGTCTGGCTTTTTACGTATGTTTGGGAATCCAAAATCAGTTTGTCGCACAAGCACTTTACTGTCAACAGTTCAGTTTTGAGAAGTCATTTTGAGATGTGGCTTGCCTATTTTGTTACTATTTAATTGATTCCACCCCCCCCCCAGCCCCCAGACTGGGGACAGAATCCAGGCCCTCACACTCTGAGGGCACTGAGCTGCACCTCTAGCTTTTGAAGTGTTGAACTACCGTGGGCTGCAGGTACCCTGTGGTCAGGGTTCCTCCGTGTACGTGTCTGCGTGTCATCCACAGGTGTGTGTGCATCTGTGCTGACAATGTGAGTGAAGACAACGCTTGCTGCCACACTGGGTTCCAGACGGGCAGCTGCTATTCCTAGTACTACTGAAGGAAAGAGTGGTGCAGACTGCCAGTAGGCCTCAGCGCCCAGTGCCCATTTGTTTATAAACATGCCCAAGATGCACTCACCTGAGCAGCTTCTGGCCCCACTTACAGCGGCACCTGTTGAGGATCCCTGTGGCAAGTGCACAGGGAGTAACTTGTTATGAGGAGGCCCAGAAACAGGACACAAAGGCACAAAATTAGTGACTGGCCACAAACTGGGGCCTGGGTTATCATGTGAAGGTGGGAAAAGGGATGGACACTTGGCCAGGAAAATACATAAATCCAGCCACTGCCCACAAAAGCCCTTCACAACATGTGAAACTGAAGCATTACCCGGTGAGAAACTGGACACTTGGAGCCATGCCCCTAAAATGCCCTGAAGCCAGAGGAAGCGGTAAAAACTATTCAAATCAGCTATATAAAAAGCAACTCTCCTCCGTGAGCAGACAGGTTTCAGGTGCCCAATTAGTGGACACAATCATACAAAGGCAGAGGCTGAGCATAGTGTCGGTAAGGCCGCAGCTCACAAGCAAATTACACTCTGTGGCCGCAACATATAAAGCGGCTGAAGCTGGGAGTGGGACAAAGACAGAAAATGTGCTGCTGTGGGGAGACCTCCGGCAACAGCAGTAAAGCAGGAAGAGGGGTCTGCACATGCCGATGGAGCCAACTGCTTTCGAGCAGGTTCCCCGTGCGGGACGAACTGCAGGGCACACCTACCGAAGAGGCTGAGCCCCTCCTTCAGCCCGCTGGCCACTTTGTACACCGAGGGGTGAGACTCGCTCTTGAAAATCTGTAGAACACTGTCACAGAGAGATGGCGGCGTCTGGATGAGCTTCTGTAACCTACACATGGCATACCCACGTGTGTGCGTGCCTGTTCTGAGACGGGGCCCCGCTACAGCCCTAGCTATCCCGGAACTGCCCGTGAACGCAGCGCGGGGTTAAGGGTGAGCCACCGCACTTGCCTATGCGCACACATCTGTGCGCGTGCACAGGCCCCCAAGCGTATGTGCACAGGTCATGTCCTCTCCCCATCTTGTTCTCTTTTGAGACAGGCTCTCTCGCTGAACCCGGCACTCCCCATTTTTCCCCTTTGGCTAGTTAAGCTGGCGGCCAGCAAGGCTCAGCAATGCTGTGTCCACCCGTTCCAGCGCTGCTGAGATTGCAGGCACGCAAACCAGGATGAGAGGTTTCCATGCAAGTGCTTGAGTCCAAACTCGGAGCCTCAAATCTCAGCAGCAGGAGCTTTCACCCACTGAACCACGCTCTCATCTGCTGTAATGAATTTTGTAGAATAAAGGGGTTTTAGAACTAAGAAAAGAAATGGGATTCAGGTTGATAATAACCTTCTTCTTCCGTGCCTAGTAATACGAATCTCAGTGTGCAGTTTATCACTCAGTTTCATTGCCTCAGCTTCTTAGGAATAAGAGCCAGGTGTGGTGGCACACACCTGTAATCCCAGCACTCAGGAAGCAAAGGTAGGCAGATCTCTGGAGTTTGGGGCCAGTCTGGTCTACATAGTGGGTTCCAGAACAACCATGGTTATGTAGAGAGACCGTGTCTCAAAGAAAAAAGAACGAGAGAGGAAGGAAGGAAGGAAAGAAAGAAAAGCAAGAACTAAAGTGGCTCAAGAGCAGGATGCTTGCCCAGCAAGCACCAGCCCCTCAGTTCCATCCCAACATTGCAAAAAGGAGGGGAAGGGCCCTTCGCTGTCCTCCACATATCACCGTTTCTTTCCTTCAAGGAGAGAGATCTCAGGGTTGGAGAGCCAGAGCCTCCTTAGGATATTAGAGCGTTAGCTCAACCCTTTGTGGCTGGAGGCAGCAGCCTGTCTCCTCACCTGTAAGTGTCTTGATCTACGCTCACCAGATGGGTCCTGAGGACAGAAAACAAACCAAAGGAAAGGTGGCTGAGGCCCCTTTCTCTGAACACTGGCCACTCTTCTCCCCAGAGCAGCACCCCCTGAAGTTCTGTGTCTGCACCCTGTGTCTGCACCCACCGTGCTCCAACCCTGACGCTGGCTCACTCCTTACGCCTCCCAGTCCCCTTGCTTTGGTTGAGCTCTGTGTGAAGCACCTACAATACAAACTTCTTAAACCCCAGGATGGGGACGCTGACACTGTAGTCCTCCAGCTCGACCCCGACTCTTCTTCGACTCAGGAACTTGAGCAGTCCTCCAAGTGCCCGAACCTGAGAGGGGACCAGCGGTGAAGCTGGGATAAGCCTTATGCTCCAGAAGCTGGTCAACACCAAGAATGAGGAAACTGTGACTTTCCAGGGCTGAGGAGCCCAGCCCAGAACTCCGCCCTAGGACTTGGGGCTCATGCCTTCCCCTAGCTGCATCCCAGCCCTCACCGCAATGAAGCAGCTCACCGTGAGGACACAGTCAAAGGGAATGATGGAGGACAGGAAGAGGATTTTCTCAGTGGCAGTCATGGACTCTGGGATGAAGGAGTAGTTTCCAGAAAGGAGCCGCTGTTTGCTTATCTCTGGACCTATTTGGGGAGAATAAGGAGCGGAAGGTCTCACAGCTCCATTTTCTCACCCCAATACATACAGCTTCTCCAAGTCCACAGAGGTGGCTACGGAGCGCTAAAGCAAGAGCCAAACACTGCTCTGTTTTAGTCTGCCTCTTTTAGTTCTCTACAAAATGTAGATGTCTGGTGATAAGCACAACCTGAGAAAGACAAGTGACTTGGGAGAAAGACATCTGGGATTGTGGACTTTCTAGGTCAAAACAATTTAGGATAGCTGGGTGCAGTGGAGCATGCCTGTAATCCTAGCACTCGGGAGGCAGAGGCGGGTAAATCTCGGAGTTCCAGGCCAGCCTGGTCTACAAAGTGAGTCCAGGGCAGCCAGGGCTACACAGAAAAACACTGTCTTGAAAAACAAACAAACAAATATGGTAAAGGATCTAATAGCGCACATTCCCTGTCCTTCCTGTCCTTTTGCAAACCTGGAAGTTAGCAAAGTAGAGACGTGTCTTACAGATCATCAGGATCCCAGAAGCAGTGTCTTTTCCTTTGTAGGCAACAAATGACTGACTTTGGCATAACGGGGAAAACTCCAACATTCAAAACCGTTTTAAAAGTGTCATCACTCCGTTTTCTCAGGGGGGATCCCCATTCCTAACATACCTAAGCCAAGAGACCCTCAATATGTATTACTACAACTATTACAAATGTATTAGCCAAGGTGTGTTATTAACAACAAGGTTCAGGAGAGCTCTCGGGGAGCCTGATGGGGCCTGGGAAGCAGTTTTCAGATAAGAACACACAAGGGGAGGTCTCTGATGATGGGGCCACTGGGATGGGGGCTGGTAACATAACAGGAAGGAGCTACCAAAATCCACGCTTGGCAAATGTACAATTTCAGGTCTCGTTGGCTCTCTGTGGTCCTGGGAGGCTGTGGAGGCAAAGGCCACAGTGCTGTACATTTCAATCTCGTTATTGTCCCATTCTCCCTCCCAGCCATTTCCGGCCTCCCGCTAAGCCACATCTTCGCTGGCCTTTCCTGAGTTCCCTTCTTTATGTGGTCCTTACCAAGCTTCCCTAGAAAGCGAGTCATGGTCTCATCCTGTTTGGCACTTGTGATGACACACTGGGGGTTGACCTCATCCAGAACTTGAAAAGAGAAGGGACCAAATGAGCCAAAGGATGGCTACACTTTGACTAAGAGGAGAAGCAGCAGCTCTTTCTTGCTGCTGTCTGCTCCCCTCGAGCCAGGCGTTGTGGCACATGCCACTGATCTCAGCACTTGGGAGGCTTTGAACTCTGTGAGTTCAAAGTCAGCCTGTTCTACATTCAGGACAGCCAGTGCTACATAGTGAGACCCTGTCTCAAAAAACCCAAACCAGCACATAAAAGGATGAATTGTCTGTCTGCTAGGGAGGGCTCTGCAGCTTGGGAGCACAGCAGGAATGCGGTCAAGTAGTGCTATGCGCTATGCGGGGACAACGGGAAGGAAGAGTGTCCTGCAAACTGCCCCAGGGACTAGATCTGTCGCACTTAACATACAGCAAGGACCTAATGCAGTTGAATAATTAAGTCCTAAGCACAGGTGGCTCTGAAGACTCGGTCACGCGGGGCCTGAGAGTGAGCACACTTCCGTCCCCACCTCTCTGGAGGAGCTTCAGGCTGTCGTGGTCTGGGGCGTCGGGCATGAAGTGGACAGTGGAGTCGCTGGTGTCATAGTAAGCGATGCCCAGGTATCCCGAGCTCCACACCACGCACAGATGGACCTGGCCGCGGAGGGGGGGGATGCTGAGGGCCGCAGAGGGGGGGATGCGGAGGGGGGGATGCTGAGGGCCGCGGAGGGGCGTGGCCGGCAGCCCTCACTCCCGGGGCGGGCCTGCCCTCCGCCCGCCCTCGCACACCTCGCCCGGCTCCTCCTCGTCCTCTTCCTCGACGCCCGCGGCCCCCGCCCTGGCGGCCTGTGGGCTGGGGAAGCCGGCCGGGGCGACCGCGGGGCCCGGGGGCGCTCTGAAGGCCATGGGCTCTGAGGACACGGAGGGGAGCGTGTCAGCGGGCGCGGCCCCCACGCCCCTACAGCCACAGCGCGCCCTTCCGTCCCCACCCCACCGGCGCCGCCAACTCGCGCCACTTTCCCGCCCTTTTCGTCTCCGGGGTCGCGACAGGCCACCTCACCGGCCAACCGCCGCGAGAGCGGAATGGGAGAGCCAGCCTGTGGGCGGGGCAGGAGGGCACTGGCCGCGCCCTCTCCGCCGCTATTGGCTGGAGGGACTGCCTGGCTATCCAATAGGAAGAGGAGGAAGAGCCCCGCCCAGGCGGTGAAGAGTCTGAGTGCTGATTGGTCTGTTTGCTTTAGGGGCGGTGCTACGGCGTTCAAAATTCCCGCCCTCTGCTGTTGCTAAGCAGCCGCGCCTCGGAGGCCCGAGGCTTTGATTGACGCTGGGCGGGGCCGCCCGAAGGTTGTCGCCCGAGTTGTCGCCCAGGCCCGGGGAAGGGTCTGGGCGGTGGGAGGGCTCCTGCGAGGAGGCCGACCTTAAAGGGCCAGAAGCGTTTTTCCCCCTCCCTGGAGCGTGGAGAGAAGCAGCATTAATTCGGCCTGTGCCAAGAGCAACAACTCGGTTAATATCTGTACCCACTAAGTTAATATTTACAAAGAACTCAGAACAGTGCCTACCAAACAAAGTAAGCGCTACGCCAGTCATTTAAGTAAATAAGTGGAAGTGAGGACCAACTCTTACTGCAGCCCTTTGCCTGGTTCCTGAAGGCAGGGGGTGACCAGCCCACAAACGCAGTGCAGGGCCTTGAAGGGGAAGCGCAAGTCTCTGAAGGACGCTACCTAAAGAGAACCCATAGCACAGCCCACCCACCCCTAAGGACACAGGGTACCCTTGATGATAGACCTGGATGGGAAAGAAAAAGAAGGAAGGAGTTTCTGAGGGAGAAAGAAAGAAACATGCTTTACCAAACCAAAAGGAAACAAACAAAGAAACCAAAACAACAACAAAAAACTCCTCAGGGCTGTCTCAGCAGGTAAAAAGTACCTTACATTTTATCCCCAGGACTCAGATGGTGGAAGGAGAAAACTGACTCCCAGATTGTCCTCTGCCCTACACACACATAAACACACACCACGCATAATTTTAAAACTGTCTTAGCTGTACTAAAACAAGAATACCCTGCCTGAGGTTGAGAGATGGGGTGAGGTGACCTGGTTCTGCTGACCAGCGACTGGAAAATCCTCTCCACGGGGAAAGGTGGGGGCAGAGCCAAGGCTGGGTTAATGGTTACCCTCTGCAAATTGTTGAGCTGTGGAGCTATAGAAACCTGGTGACAGACAGCTCTGGGGAGTGGCAGGGAGGGGCACACCTTCCAATCCAGGGTGTGAAGAGATTGGGGACTGGTTTACCAAGACCAGGAAGGGCCTGGACACAGGAAGAGGAGCCGGTTGGTGAAAGAGAAAGAACAGGGGCAGAGATAAGATCGGGGCCAAATGATTTTCTGCTGCAGGAGGCGCCGTGCATGGTCTCAGGAGAGGGTGGCCTGAGAGTTAAGACATTCTGGCACAGCAATCCAGGGAGCCAGCACTGACATCAGGGCAGCGACTACAGAGGCCGCCAAACCTGTCTGAGTCTAACGCTTCTCCCACTGAGAGCTCTCTAGGGACAGATTCCCTGGTGGCCACTGACCAGTGGGGAAAGGGAGGCCTCTGGGAAAAAAGGCTTCACCGAAACCATGTTTCTCATCAGTAGGAAGGGGCTCTTGGCAGATGTGAGGGTCCACATGATGGGAAGGCACACTCACACTCACTCGGCCTATATCCTTCTGTTGTAACTCAGAGGCCCAGAAACCAAGCACATTCTGTGTTTCTGTGGAGGAGAGAGATAAGCCTTCCCCCAGGGAGGAGAGAGACCCCAGAAGAGGAAGCCACTAACTTCTGGTTTCCAGCAACACACGCTTCAGCCCTCCCACTCTGTCTTTCAGTTTCCAGTCCAGTTCTTTAAGATTTGTTTTATGTGTAGTGGTGTGAAGATATGAGACCACCGGGAACTGGAGTTACAGACAGCTGTGAGCCTCCATATGGGTTCTAGGAATTGAACTCAAGACCTTTGGAAGAGCAGCCAGAGCTCTTAGCCACTGAGCCATCTCTCCAGCCCAGTTTTGCTTCTAGATCTTTCCAAGTCCATTAAATATATACATTTTTTTTCAACTGGAAATCTTTTGTTGTAGTCACTTTGTTTTGGTTTTTGGTTCTTACGGACAGTGAGTAGAAAATTAAAAGGATGTTTGGACAGTGGACAGCAGAGAAAGTTAGAGCGTGCGGGCTGGAGTATCGGCAGGCATTTTAGTTTTTGTTTTTTAATAGGTAGTAAAGTTAGCACCTCCATCAAGCCTCCCAGGGAGAGATACTTTTTCCCTTTATTTACTTAGCTGTCCCCCACGACTGCGCGCACACTGCTCTGTCTGACCTTTGCTACCCCACCCACCCGGGATGAGCCCCAGCGCTCTCCGGGTGCCAGGGCACCCCGTCTCCAAGGCAACCTCTAGCCGCGGGAGCAGGGTGAGGGGCCCGGGTTGGGGACGCCTAAGCGTCGACAGGCTTCCAGGACCGCCCCTGCCGCGAAGCCCGGGCTCGGCTTCCTGTTTCCCGGCGCCAGGCCTCGCGGTCTCTCCCGGGCCGTGGCTCGGGGGGCCTCTCTCGAGCCCGAGATCCCAGCCTCGGCGTCTCCCTCCAAAGCCCCTGCACCCTCGCGCGCTCGGCGCACATCCTAGCAAAGCAGAAGACTGACGGGGCTGCGCAGCGCCCTCGCGCCCTCAGACTCCATTTCTGCCCCTTCGCGGGCAGGAGCCTGGCCACCCTGCGCTTTAGGAAACTGAGGCACGGGGGCGGGGCTGCGTTTAGGAGAGGCCCCGGGCCGCCCCGCTACCACCCGAGCCCCGGAGCCCCGGGCCTCCGTCGGCGCCCGCTCCCCAGCCTCGAGTCCCTCCCCCTCCCGGCCCTCCCCGGGCCCAGGGCGGGGCCGGCCGGTGAGTCAGCCGCTCCCCGCTGGGTGTGGGGTGCGCTGCACCGGCGGGGAGGCCGCGTCGGAGCGAGCGGAGGGTCCGGTCGGACGTGGGCTGCGCGCCGAGCCGCGGCAGAGACTCCGGGACCCCGAGACCCGCCCTCCCGGGCCCGGCCCCGCCCAGTTCCCCAGCGACGGCCGCTTCCTGGTCCCCGGCGCAACCATGGCCGAAGAGCAACCTCAGGTCGAGCTGTTCGTGAAGGTGAGAGCGCCGTCTGCTTCCCCGCCGCCCTCAGCATTCCCGCAAGCCCGCCCTGCCCTGCCCTGCCCCAGCCCGCGACCCCTTCCCCGCGGGCCCACCCCCAGCTGGCGCCGGGGTGACTTGGGAGCCGGTGAAGGAGTTCTAGGCTCGCCCTGGAAAGTTTGTGGGAGAGGTTTCCAGCAGCCCAAAGGAGAGGAGGGCGGAGGAAAGGGGGGTTTTCAGGCGTGAGAGAGTGAAGGGGGGACGGGGCGGGGTCCACACGACCAAAGGACCAAGAAAGGGACAGTGGCGGGGTTGAGAAGGTCAGAGGAGGCTCGGCTAGGTCTTGTGGCCCTGTGAAAGAAAGGGAGACAGACGGACAGACCAGGAAGAGAGAGACAGACAGGAAGAGAGAGGGGGAGAGAACACGAATCTGGTAGGACTGACGGCACAGTAAGGGGCAGGGTGGAGGGAGGAAAGAGCCGCCAGGGAGCAGCACAGTGGGCCGAGAGGCCTGCCCCCCAGCTGAGGGAAGCTTGATGGGTGTGGGGGACCCCACCCCGCTGACCCTGTTCTCTCTCTCTCTCTCTTTCTCTCTCTCTCTGTCTCTCTCTCTCTCTCTCTCTGTCTTTCTCTGTCTTTCTCTCTCTCTCTCTCTCTCTCTCTCTGTCTCCTCTCTCCGAGGGTGTGGTCAAGGAGAAATGGTTCTGGCTTTTGGGTATGGAAACCGCGGGCGCAGCCGTCCTCGTTTGCCCAGGCCCATCCCCTTCCAGCACCGCCCCTTCCTCCCCCTGCCCTTCCCTTCTTCTAGCTGGTCTGTCTCCCCAGCGAACGTTCTCCCCGCCTTTCGCTTCTGGCCTCACTTTTCACTGCTTTCCTACCGCGTCTTGTTCATCTTGTCTAGGCGTGGGTGTGTGTCTTGTCTGTGTGTCGTTGTGTGTGCTGCCTTTCTCCTTTCCTCTGGGGTTCCCCTGGCGGCCGTTCCCACTTTCTCGGCCCAGGGAAGTCAACTGGAACCCGGGTCCGCCCCTTAGGTGTGGTCCCCACCTCGCCTCCAGGGGCTGTTTTTACTCCTGGGGAGGTGATGCTGTAGAGATTCTGGCCTTGGGTCCCGTGAGGAGGACATGAGCTCGGAGGTCCAGCAGTGAGAGAGAAGGCTTGGGGAACTGTCATGGTGCCCCCCCCTTCCTAGGCCTCTGCGTGTACAGGTCCCTGCCCCCACTTCCTTGCCAGGAAGGAAGCTGCTGAGGCCTGAAGACACGAGATGAATCACCCTCAGTCTAGGGGGAGGTGTCCCTTGGGGGATGAGGTCACCTGTATCCAATTAGAGAGTTGCCCCCTTTGTTAGGCCCTCCGTATCTCTGAGGTAAGGTTTAGGTCCCCTTGAGACAGCCTGGAGAGGGCTTCAGTGAATGGGGACCCTGGTTTCTAAACCCCACCGGGCCTCAGCCTCTGCTGCCCTGGTGGTTAGCTCCCACCTCGCCCAGTGCCCTGTTCTTCGCCTTTCGGGGTCAGATGCTCCGAGCTCGCTCTCTGCTCCTCTGCCTCCTCCCCTGTGTCAATCACTGGGATGCTGTGAGCCAACCTTTGCTGATGGAGGCCCAAAGGGGACAATAACTGAGCCCTGGGGGCAGGGTAGAGAGCGATCGGTGTATCCCGGAGCCCGCAGGCGACTCAGAGAACAGCCTGGCAGGGACGGAGCGCCAGGCCTGACTTCGGGGCGGGGTTGCTTTTCAGGCCGGCAGTGATGGGGCGAAGATTGGGAACTGCCCCTTCTCCCAGAGGCTCTTCATGGTGCTCTGGCTCAAGGGGGTCACCTTCAACGTCACCACCGTGGACACCAAGAGGTGGGCCCACTCTGTTCCTCTAACTCCCCTGTGGGGACGCGTGTGCGTGCCCACCCACAGGAGCCCTCCACCTTAAGCCTGCTCTCTCTCCCCGGGGACATTTGATCTCTCCTACACCCCGATGGCCCTGTCTCTGCCGCTGACCCTCTCTTCCTTTCTTGATGCCTGGCCGGGTCTCCAGACGGACAGAGACCGTACAGAAGCTCTGCCCTGGTGGACAGCTCCCGTTCCTGCTCTATGGCACCGAAGTGCACACAGATACCAACAAGATCGAGGAATTCCTGGAAGCCGTGCTGTGCCCTCCCAGGTACCGGGGCGCTGGGCAAGAGCCGGGAAGCCTGGAGGCTCTGTGGAGCAGAGGTTGAAGAGGGGGAGACAGGCGGCCTAGGGCCGAGTCCTCCAGAAAGGAGTCCGCTTATCTCTGCCTCCGCCTTCCAGGTACCCAAAGCTGGCTGCTAGGAACCCCGAGTCCAACACCTCAGGGCTGGACATATTTGCCAAGTTCTCTGCCTACATCAAGAACTCAAACCCGGCCCTCAATGACAGTGAGTCCGATGGGTCAGGGTCTCGGGTCCTAGAGGAGAAAGACCCCAGGGTGGAGAGGCACCAGGAGCCCCTGGGGGTTTGGGACAGCCCCTGACTGTCAGGGGGATGGAACGGATGCTACATCTGCTGACCTTCCCTATCTGTCGGACCCCTTGAACCTCCTTGCTGTCTCCTTACCAAGATTTTTGGGGTTTAGGTGGGTTGTTTGGTTTTCTTTTCTGAGGTTTTGTTTTTATGTATCCGAGTGTTTGCCTGGCTGTGTGTGCACCATCTGTGTGTAGTGTCGGAGAAGGCCAGAGGAGACGTCAGATCCCCTGGGACTGCAGTTATAGATGTCGGCGCTGGGAAGCAGGTCCCCTGCGAATCAGCCCATGTGCCTAGCCACTGAGCCATCTCTCCAGCCCTGCAGCCAGCTTTTTAAATGGGTGCTGGCATGTGAAGTATATCACGTGCTTCTGCCCACCACGCCATCTCTCCACCCTACAGAGTGCATTCTTTTGGTTGTTGTTGGTTTTGGTTTTGGTTTCCTCTTTGTAACAGCCCTGACTGTCCTGGAACTTTCCCTGTAGACCAGGCTGGCCTCGAACTACCTGCCTCTGCTGCCCTAGTGCTGGGATTAAAGGTGTGGGCCACACCTGCTAGAATTCATTCTCAAAGCACTCCCTCACGCGTGCCCCACACCGCTGCAGCCGCTGGGGTCAGTGTGGGGACACGAAGGTAGAAGGAGCCCGGGTGAGGCCGTCCAGCTGGTCCAGTCTAATTGGTCAGCTCCAGGCTCAGGGAGAGACCCTGTCTCAAAAGATGACGTGAAGACTGGAGAGATGGTCCCCTGGTTAAAAGCCCTTGCAGAGGTCTGGGCTTTGGTGCCCAGCACCCACCACAGCTCCCAACTGCCTGCAACTCCAGATCCTGGGGGTCTGAACCGTTTTCTGGCCCCTCAAGCTCCTGCATGCCACAGAATCACACACATACACATAAACAAGTGATATAAAAAGATGTATTAATTATTTATACAGCATTCTGTCCACATGTTTGCCTCCATGCCAGAAGAGGGCACCAAATCTCATAGATAACCATCTGTGAGCCACCATATGATTTCTGGGAATTGAACTCAGGACCTTTGGAAATGCAGCCAGTGCTCTTAACCTCTGAGACATCTCTCCAGCCCCTGATAAATCAACCTTAAAAGAAAGAAAGATGGAGAGTCATTGAGGAAGACAGTGGATACTGACCTCTGACCTCCACACACATGCAGACCTGTATAAACACACCACGCACAACTTAGCAATACCGTGCACGGTCGTTGGTCTCACACTTGCCAAGCAGGTGCTTTACCTCTGAGCTCTGTGCTCAGGCCCTCGGGCAGGCCACCTCCCCAGTTCAAAGTTCTCAGCAGCCTCCTCCCTCGCACAGATCTAGAGAAGGGGCTCCTGAAAGCCCTGAAGGTTCTGGACAATTACTTGATGTCCCCCCTCCCGGAAGAGGTGGACGAAACCAGCGCTGAAGATGAGGGCGTCTCCCAGAGAAAGTTTCTGGATGGCAATGAGCTCACCCTGGCTGACTGCAACCTGCTGCCCAAGCTCCACATCGTCCAGGTGGGCGCTCACGCTGGGGGAGGGGGGCTGAGTCTCTAAGGTGCGGACGTTGTTTATTGCAAGGGAGGGGGAAAACACAAGAGGTTCAGGGGCTGGGTTCTCCCCCTCCACCATGTGGATCCCTGGTTGGCTGCAGCCCCGGGACCCCCAACCTGTCCCTTAGCGGCTGTTGCCCAACTAAGGGACTTACAAGCCTCGGGCATCCAGGGTCTGATCAAGAGTAGCATTCTAGTTTTGCTGTGTGTGCCGGGGTGTGTGTGTGTGTGTGTGTGTGTGCAGCACCTGCCTCTTTGTGTCCAGGGTTACTTCCAAGAAGGCTTTTCCTGCAACTGTATCACTGCCAAATCCACAAAGGCAAAGAAAGCAGGATTCTCCCAAGTCCACACTGTAACTCTATACAGAGCCTAGGCTTCCCACTTCCTCTCAAGGAAGACAAGCCTTGCTGTTTCTTTTTTCCTAGCCTTAAAGCTACAGTGTAATTTAGTAAACACAGAGCCACTATGGCCCCACCACCGGCTGAATAATGAGCAGCACCAGGCAGTGAAAGAACTGGGCAAAGTGGCTCAGGCCTGTAATCCTAAAGTGTGAGTTGAAGGCCAGCCTTCACTACAGAATCAGATCCTGTTTCAAAGAACACCACCACCACCAGCCCCCCAAAAGGGAAAAGAACCAAATGATGTTCAATTAGTTCTTGCCCACAAAAAGCTGAAACTGAGTTGAAGATAAAACATTCACATTAATATATAACCTGAAAATCAAATGGAAAAAAAAAAAGACAAAATTCACCACAAAAAAGTTACACTTTGTTAATTATCTTTTTCTGTGTGTGTGTGTGTGTGTGTGTGTGTGTGTGTGTGTGTGTGTTTGCACACACGTGCTGGAAATGGAACCCAAGGCTAACCTCAACCATAGCTTCTGCCTCTGTCGCTCTGTATATATTCACTTTTAATTACGTGTGAGTGCAGGTGCCTCTGGCGGCCAGAAGAGGGAGCTAGACCCTCTGAACCGGAGCTGCCCAGTGTGGGTGCTCCGAACCAAACCTGGGCAGGAGCGCTGAGCCGTTTCTTTAGCCCACCTCTCTCTATTTATTGATTTTGGTTTCTTAAGGCAGTGTCTTTCTATTTATCTCTGGCTGTCCTGGAGCTCGCTATGTTGACCAAGCTGGCCTCAAACTCAGAGAACCCCCTGCCTCTGCTTCCCAGTGCTGGGATTAAAGGTGTAAACCACCATGCCTGGCTTTTCTTCTTAATAAAGAGGAGAAAAGTTGAACCACAGAATGGTTGGTCTGGTAAGGAGCTGGCTATTAATGATAGTGTTTCAGAAAGTGAGTTCAAGGCCAGCCTGGTCTACAATGTGAGTTACTGGACAGTCAGGGTTACACAGAGAAAGCTTGTCTTGGGGTGGGGTGGGGTGGAGGATGGAGATTGGGTGGGGGTAGGAATGGAGGGTGGGGGTAGGGGAATCGGTAAGAATAGAGGGGCTGGGTAGAGGGCTCCGTGTTTAAGAGCACTGGCTGCTCTTCCAGGGGACCCAGGTTCAGTTCCCAGCACCCACCTGGCAGCCATCATCTATAACTCACTCCAGAGGAGCTGATGCCCTCCTGTGGCCTTTACAGACACCGCTGACACCGTGCACAGTCATACATGTGGGCAAAACCACCCATCCACATAAAATAAAAATACACCTACGACACGGTGGTGCACGCCTTTAATCCCGCTACTTGGAAGGTAGAGACCGGTAGATCTCTGACTTCGAGATCAGCCTGGTCTACAGAGCAAGTTCCAGGACAGCCAGGGCTATCCAGAGAAACCCTGTCTTGATTTAAAAAAAAAAAAAAAAAATCGAAGAATACAGATTTTGGGGTGTAGGCACACTGTAGGGGTGCGTGCCTGTAACACCAGCTCTCAGGCCGAGGCGTCTGAAAGGAGTGCAGCCCGCCGAGCCGGCAGACCCTGGAGGAGGACGAGAAAGCCCAACCGCTCCCAAACAGAGCAAGCGTGACGTCCCCCGGTCCGACACGCCGACCTCTCTCCCCGCTCCAGGTGGTGTGTAAGAAGTACAGAGGCTTCACCATCCCGGAGGCGTTCCGCGGCGTGCACCGGTACCTGAGCAACGCCTACGCTCGGGAAGAGTTCGCCTCCACCTGTCCAGACGACGAGGAGATCGAGCTGGCCTACGAGCAGGTGGCCAGGGCCCTCAAATGAGCGCCTCTCCAAGGGGCCCTCGCCCACCCTCTCCACCGAGGCTCCGGGGCTTCCGCGTTGCTACCTAAAGGACACACTCCAAAACAGCCAGTGGGCTGGACCTCCGGGGCTCTGCAGGGCTGCGGGGAGCCGTGGGAAAGGGACAGGGGACCAGGCTGAGGTGTTCAGGGAGGGGCGGGGTGGGTAGGACTACGTATTTCAGTAATAAAATACAGAGTGAAAACCTGGCGTTGCTCTTACACAAAGACGGCTCCCAGCGTAGTGGGCGCCGGTCGGGAGCGGCCAGTGACCTTATGTTTAAGCCCAGTGCACGGGGGCTGCCATGTTCTGCATCTGCCCACGAGAGGGCTGTTCTGCGGTCCACGTCGCATCTGCGGCCCCGCAGCCGGAGCCCGCGGGGTCTGGGGGGCCCCGGCCCGGGGTCTGGGGGGCCCGGCCCGCGCTCTCGGGGCGGTGCCGGGGTTCGCTGCCTCGAGGGGGCGCGCGGTCCCGGAGGAGGGGGCGCGGCCTAGCAGGGCGGAGGGGGCGTGGCCTCGGCAGGCCCCGCCCCGTCCCGCTTAGACAATGCCCCGGAGCCGCCAGACCAGCGCGCCCCCGCCCCACCGCCGTCCTTGAGCTCGCCTACCGCGGAGCCCCTCAGACGCCCGAGCTCCCAGGGTCTCCAGCGAGAAGACCCAGGCTCCGGGCCCCACGAACTCTCCGCCGGGGGTGGGGCCAAGGCCGGCTCGCAGCGCTGCGGGAGTGGAGGTGGCCGCGGTGAGTCTGGAGAAGGGGCTGTCCTCCCGGACGGCGTGGAGAGGCGAGTTTGGGGGGGGGGGGGCTGCGTCCGTGCCTGCACCGGGCGGAGTGTGCGTTCAGCCTGCTCTCGGGCGGGGTAGACTTGAGCGTAACGGAGCTGTGAAGCCGGGAGCGGTTCCACGCCCCCCCGCCCGTCTCCCCGCCCTCCGGATTTCGTTTAAGACCTCTCCCAGTCCTCCGGGACTAAGTCTGGTTTAGACCGGGTCGCTGGAAGGGCGGCGTGACGTTCCCGAGTGGGGAGAGAGGACGCTTAACTCCTTAGCCTCTAATGCCTCCCGCGTGCGCGCCGTCCCCTTCCTCCGCCGAGCCGTCAGGACTCGCACAGCCCAGGCCCTGGCTCACTAGCCAGCTTTCTTTTCCTGTCTCTGAACCTCTGCGGGTCCCTGGCAGGACTTCGGGTCCCTCCTGCTGCGAGCAGCTGAGGGTTAAGGGGGCGGGGCCGCCGCATTTTTGGGGAGTGAGCGCATCCTAGCGGCTGCCAGGAGGGGCGCGGGGCCGGGACCCAGCCGAGCCCCTGAGCAGGGGCAACAGGTGTTCGGGAGATTAAGGATCCAAGTCTCGTTCCTTGGGCGCCTCTTACAGCTAGCTGATCCCCGGTGAAAGGCGGCTGAGCGGGGTCCACGAGTGCTCGGAGGTCTGCAGGGGGCGGGCAGAGCGGGAGGGGCGCCTGGAGATGGCAGGGGGAAGAACCCGGGAGCTTTTAACACTCCCCTCCTCTTCTTTGTACGTCTTTCTCTGCTTCTCCCCTCCCCACCCCCTTCTGTTTCTCCTCTCAGACGAGTGAAGTGAAGAGAAGAAAGAAGTCAGCTTGGCTGGAAGAGGCATCTGTGTGCATGGGATGGGGACGCCGGGGGAGGGGCTGGGTCGCTGTTCCCATGCCCTGATCCGGGGAGTCTCCGAGAGCTTGGCATCCGGGGAAGGTGCGGGGGCTGGCCTTCCGGCTCTGGACCTGGCGAAAGCTCAAAGGGAGCATGGAGTCCTAGGAGGGAAACTGAGGCAGCGGCTGGGGCTGCAGCTGCTGGAACTGCCTCCTGAGGAGTGCCTGCCGCTGGGACCGCTGCTCGGCGACACGGCGGTGATCCAAGGAGACACAGCCCTCATCACGCGGCCCTGGAGCCCGGCGCGCAGGCCCGAGGTGAGCGCCAAGGTGGTGGCTCGGGGTGCGGGGGAGGGAGGTCGAGGGGAGGCGGCCGGACGTCTGCGGTTGGCGGGAAACAGGGAGTGAGGATGGCTCGGGCCGCTCCCTCTTCTCCAAGATTGATGGAGTCCGCAAAGCCCTCCAGGACTTGGGGCTCCGAATCGTGGAGGTGGCGGACGAGAACGCGACGCTGGACGGCACCGACGTGCTCTTCACGGGTGAGGCCGCGGGCAGTCAGGCCCCCGGGGGCTTGGCACGGCAACCAGAGCGTGGGGGACTGGGCGTCCTCAGGTCCTGACTCCAAACTCACTGTGGCTTTCAAACGTGCGCATCCTCCCGGAGTTCAGGCCGGGAGTTTTTCGTAGGCCTCTCCAAGTGGACCAATCACCGAGGAGCCGAGATCGTGGCCGACACGTTCCGGGTGAGGAGCCGGAGTGGCTTGGGGAGGGCGCGCCGCCAAGGGGCCACACGGCTTGACCTGGGCGCCTTGCGCACCCCTAAATCCTCCTGCTCTCCCTAGGACTTCGCCGTGTCCACGGTGCCCGTCTCCGGCACCTCGCACCTGCGCGGCCTCTGCGGCATGGGGGGGCCTCGCACGGTGGTGGCTGGAAGCAGCGACGCGGCCCAAAAGGCGGTCCGGGTGAGGAGGCGGGGCTGGGGCGAGGGCGTGGCCAGCCAAGCGGGCGTGGCTCGGGGCAGGGGCGGCGGGGAAGCTGGCTAGCTGGGGAATTGCCCGCGGCCTTGTCTGCACTAAGACTGTGTTCGCGTATCACAAGGGGACACGCTGGTCAACAAGGGGGCACAGAAGAAACAAGGGCCGGGGAGGGATGGGGGAAGCAGCCGTGGCTCAGGTGCCCGAGACAGCTTGCGTCTGACTCGGCGGGCGTTGAATACTTGCTGTCTTTATCTCACGAACGTGCCCCTTGTCCCCAAGCCTTCTGTGCTAGGTCAGGCAGACTCAGATGTGGGGAGCCAACACCCTCTTCCTCTCTCCAGGCAATGGCGGTGCTGACGGATCACCCCTACGCCTCCCTGACCCTCCCAGACGACGCGGCTGCCGACTGTCTCTTTCTGCGACCCGGGTCGCCGGGCTGCACTCCTTTCCTCCTGCACCGCGGAGGTGGAGACCTGCCCGACAGCCAGGAGGTGAGGAGGGGCAAGGGCTCCACCAACCAAAGAGAAAGGAGGGGGCCTTTCTTCGGAAGCCTGGGTGGGACCATCAGGGACTGACCATCAGGGACTGGTCAAAACACCGTCGGTGTCCTCCTGCCTGCAGGCTCTGCAGAAGCTGTCTGACGTCACCCTGGTACCCGTGTCCTGCTCAGAACTGGAGAAGGCTGGCGCTGGCCTCAGCTCCCTCTGCCTGGTGCTCAGCACACGCCCTCACAGCTGAGGGCCTGGGCTTGGGGCTCCCACTGGCTGGGAAGGGGGTAGAGTTAGGTAACAGAGGATGAGAAGTAGGTCGTAGTTTGGAGATGCCCCAGGATAGGGAAGGACTCAGAATGGGACAGGGGTAGGAGCCACTGGGTGAGTCCTGTCAAACCAATAAAATAAACTTGGGCTTTCAGATAGGGCTGTGGCTGCTGTCTCATTGGAGAAAGGGATGAGGTGGGGCTGAAATCTCAAGCCGGGGTCAGTGCTAGGGAGGAGGGCTCTTTAATTTTTCTTGTTACTATTGTTTTAGAAACAGAGTTTCTCTGTGTAGCCCTGGCTACCTTGGAACTCACTCTGTAGACGTGGCTGGCCTCTAACTCACAGAGATCCCCCTTCCTCTGCCTCCCAGGGGCTGGGATCAAATTCAAAGGGGTGTGCCACCATAGCCGGGCCGGACTCTAAAAACACTCCCCCTTATGTGCCTCCTGGCTCACTCCCAGCCCTGTCATAGGGCTGAGGCACAAACAGGGACAAGAGACTATTTCTGTTGTGGGGAGCACAGGCCAGGGGGCAGAGGACTAAGTGTGTGGGTGGGTCACTTTCTGAATTTACCCAAGGGTCAGGTGACTCAGGCTTGTGGTGCCTGGCCAGTCCACCTTTCTTCCCTTTCTTTCTTGTTTGTTTTTTGAGACAGGGTTTCTCTGTGTGGCCTTGGCTGTCCTGGAACTCACTCTGTAGACCAGGCTGGCCTCGAACTCACAGAGAACCACCTGCCTCTGCCTCCCCGAGTGCTGGTATTACAGGAGTGCGCCACCATGCCCGGCTCCCACCTTTGTTTCTAAAGAAGAAACCGTGTTTTCTGGGACGCTCATTTATTCTGGTACTGAGGCTAACAGTGGCATTAAAAAAGGGAGTTTCCTCACGCCAGGAAATTCATAGTTTCTGACAAGCTGTGATGGGATTGTTTCCATGAGAAAAGCCAGGGGGTTTCTAGAGCATCAGATTTTGTGGGGGACTGGGGTGTTTCGGGTGAGGGGATTCCAGAAAAGGCTACATTTGGATGACATCCTGAGGATAAGTAATTATCCAGGCAGGAGATGAGGAACAGGAAAAAGGAATCCGAAGATGGGATTTACTTCAACGAGCCAACAAATCCTCAGAGAGAATCTCTCTAAGGTGGGCGTGTGTACCCAGAAAATGATGGATAGGCCTAGGAATAGGCAAAGTGCTTGCAGCGCCTGTACCCAAAGCCGGCACCCATGGCCCCAGAGCTGAAGCCCCAGGAGAGAACTGGTGGTTGATAAGGGGAGGATCGCTCTGGCTTCAAAGATGAAGGCCAGGACAATAGGACCAGAAGGTTCTGTGGGTCACCCATGCAGCAGAAGATAAAAGTACATCCTGGTGGCAAGCCAGACACACAGCAGGGACAGACTTGAGTGTGACACTAAGACAGACAAGGCCTTGCACGGCAGGGCATCCAGCACTGAACATGGCCGCACGGAGATCAGGATCTCAAAGCCAGCCTCGGAATCTCGAGAGCCTGTCTTTAAAAGGAGTGTGTGTGTGTGTGTGTGTGTGTGTGTGCGCGCGCGCGCGCGCGCGTGCGCACGCGTGCTTGATAAGCCCCTGTGTGGGAGAGGAGGGGGTGGTGTCCTCTGACTCCCAGTTTCTGGCTTGGGCAACTTGGCTTTGTCGAGAGAATGCAGAGGAGGGCCAGGGAAGGGCAAAGGACTGAGTCAGATTTCACATGCCTTGTGCAGAGCGCCTGAGGCCAGTGGCACAGCGTGTACTAGGTGTGAGGTCTGGGTGGAAAGGGATACTGGGTGTCGTTTGGGGGCTGAGAATTGGCTTGCTTTCTAGAAGAGGAGTGAGGAAGAACTGAACAATGGCAGGGTGTCTAGAAGGAAGATAGCAACAAAACAAACCGGAGTCTAAAGAGGGGTCATCTAAGGCCAAGCCAGCGAACGTGGGCCTGGTGGCAGGACACCGTTTGGCAACAGAAGATGAGCAGCTGCAGGCAAGGAGGGGGGGAAGAGAGGCAGGTGTAAAGCTCAACATGCTTGATTGGGCTGGGTGTCGCCTTTCATCTCAGCACCCGGGAGGCACAGGCAGGTGGATCTCTGAGTTCAAGGCCAGCCTGGTCTACAGAGTGACCAGGGCTACAGGACAGCCAAGGCTGCACAGAGAAATCCTGTCTCAAAAAACAAGACACAGACCCCCCCCCCCCCAAAAAAAAAAAAAAAAAAAAGACTTGATTGGAAAGGGAGGGGAACAGACAGAATACCTATTTGCCACAGACAGCTTGAGCATCCTTAGAGAGGAGGACATCAATGGTGAAGGAAAGACGGAAGAGATGGGAGTGGCTGGAAAGCTGATCAGTTACAGGCCGACCCGGGTGTCCCGGCTCCCACACCCGCCTCTGTCCATGGTGCCCGCCCTGCTAGCTGAGCTTACACAGACCAGGGAAGCCGGGGTGGAAGGCTTGGAAGACCGCCGGCTTCCTCTTACACTACCACCGCATAGACAGTGCGGGCGTCACCAGGAAGGACTGCGGACATCCGCCGGGGCCTCCCGAGGACAGACTGGTCCAGATCAGCGTAGTGCAGGCTCTGGAGGTAGAGGGGCAGGCAGTGCGGTCTCCGCGATCTGACCCCTTGGCTTGGAGGCAGCCTTTCTCATCCCCACAGTAGGTGAGCAGGCTACGTATGAAGCAAGGCCTGGCCTCCCCCGGCGTGCCCCACCACAGCCTCGCTAGGTTTCTTTCCTCCAGGATGCTGGCCTGCCTCCTTCCCCTGCCAGGGCCCTTACCGGCTCCTGGTCCGGGTGGCCTGACATCTTGCCCTCCTGGTCTAAAGGCCTCTGCGGGTCAGCGTTTATGACCGGAGCTGTGAGAGGGAGGGACAGAGCTGAAGGATGAAGAGAAAATGACCAACTTTGCTCCCGCCAAGGCCTCAGACCCAAGGATTCAGGGTTAGGATAGGAGAGGGGAAGTGGGGGGCAGTTAATCTCACCAGGTGTGGGGAGTGGTCGAGGCGGGGGCGGGGGCGGGGGCCTGTAGGGAAGTCCTTGGAGAGTCATCAGTCCCGTCTTACTGGTTCCCCGGCTGCAGGCGGCGCCAATGAGAACTGTGCAAACAAGCTGCAGTCTCCGACCAGCAAAACAACTTAGGCTTTTCCGGGACCGGGCCCCGCCCACTCTCTGGGCTTTCCGCCCTTCTCGTTCGGCTCCTCCAGCCTGGAGCCTTAGCACCCGAGGAGCTGACCTCTGGCATTCTTCTCCCTACCGCTGGCCTCCGGATACTTCTTGCTCTTGGCAAAACTTAGGGTTCTGCCCAGCCTCTCCCCACCCCCACTGGCCACACCTTGTACTAAGCCAGGCCCCACCTCAGTGCTCACCTGCGCCGCCACCAGATCCAGCCCGAGGCGCCCAGACCCAGCACCAGTCCAACGCCCAGCAGCGGAATGAGGACCTTGGCAGGCCCGGACCCTGGGGAAACCGCGAGGCGGGGAGGGGTGCCGAGGTCAGGCTACGGACCACAGGGCTCTACCAGATCTCCCGCTCGACAGGACTGCGCCCCGCTTTCTCTTCCGCGTGTGTGTCCGAATTGAATGCCCCTGTGCCCCCGGGCCTCGCCCTACCGTGGGCAGATCCCGGAGCACTGCAGTCTGCCTTGTCCCCCAACACCTGGAGCACGGTGCGGCTCTCATTCTCTTGGCGTCCTTTGCAGAAAAAGGAGCCGGAATCGCCGGCGCTCAGCAGCAGCTCCAGCCGCCCGATGCCAGTGTCCAGGGGGCGCAGGCGGCCGGAGAAGTGGGGGAGCACGCTTCGAGTGCCGCTCGGCGTGGCCCACAGGATTGGGCGGCGCCCTTTGGACAGGCCCTTACAAGCCGGGAAGCTGGGCGCCCAAACCCAGCGGGTGGGGTCTGAAACCCCTATGCAGGAGAGATTCACCCGGTCCCCGGGGCTGCCCTCCAGGGAAACTAGGAAAAGTGGGGGTGGAAGGCGGTCAGAGGCTCGCTCTCCCCCTTCCTCACTCACACACACACACATACCCCACCTCTTTACCCTGCCCAGACCTTCTAACATTCTGAATTTCCTCATGCACAAATGCACAACAGCCCTCCCCACCTACACAGACACACAGACACACAGACACACACACACACACACACACACACACAAACCGGGCGACCCTAGTCTGTCTGTCTTGACCCATCCCCACTTCCCAGGGATGGCCTACCCTGGGGGCTCCCCTGCACTCCTGAGAGCACCAGAGGCAGCAGCAGGAGCAGGGCCATGGCTGGAATGTGGCTGTCAGAGGGGAGTGAATCAGCAGGGAGACCGGAGGGAAGCCAGGGGCAGGGGTGGGGATACCGAGGGACTGGGGGCTCAGATAAGAGTCAGGCCACCAGCTCGTGGGTCCCTCTAGAAATCCACACGAGCCAACTTGCAGTCTTCACACTTTTAAAACGTTTAAAAGTCGCGCTGTCTGCGACCAGCTAGCATGAATCCCCTGCCACAGATTGTGAAGCTCTGCTCCTTTGAGTTCAAATCCTGACTTTGCCACACAGTAGCTGGGTGATGGGAGCAAGCCGCTTAACCTGAGCCCGTTCCCTCCTCAGGAAAATGGAGATAAAGGCGTGTGAGAGCCAAATAAACTCAGAGCATGCCTGAAACCGTGGGTGCTCAATGCATGACGTCATCCTTGTTACCTCCGCTTTTACCTTAGTTCTTACCTCACCTCTGGGTGCCCACTGTGCTCCTCCATACACACGGTGCTCCTCCCAAATCCAGGCCCAGTGGGGTGAGAGCTCCCCAAGAACCACCCTGTGGCCCTCCAGGACACATACCCTCAGCCCCACTTCTATGACATCACAGAAACCCTCCAAGATGCCACAAACTTGTACCCTGTGGCTTCGCATCACCTGGAAGATGGGATGGGGAGTGAGCCTACATTAATTCAGCCCGTTCCATTGTCCCGTCGATTTTGGCCTCCCCCTCCCCACTTCCAGGCACCCAGAGTTGATGACCAAGCCCAGACTACATCACACTGTTCATTCCCTAGGGACCAGCAGATGCCACACTGTGGCTGTTTGAGTCACAGAGGCTTTTCTGATGCTCCTCAGGGCACTGGGGCCCTCGGCTGGGGGTCCAGAAACCAAGATCCAAAATGGAGTTCCTCACTAACAACGCTTGCCCTCTCCAGTCTCCCTCTCCCGTCTCCCCTCCCTACCCAGGCCTGGGTAGACCCTTCCCTCCTCTGGGCTTTTTTCTCTAGTCAGCTGGGTGTAAACCGGGAGGGAGGTGGCACCCAGGGCAGAGGCCTGGAAGGGAGGAGCCAGGGGATTATAAATCCTGAGGAGAACGGGCTCACCTCCCAGAGCTGGATCCCTGAAACTGCTGCCAGCTGCTGGGGCTGCGGACATTGGGCCTCACCATGAGACACCTGTTGCTGCTCACCCTGTCGGCCCTGCTCTGCTGCTGCGTCTCAGGTGAGTGCCAGCAGCCCCCACCCCACTCCTCCCCAACACTGAGGGTCCCAAGTCCTCTCCACCACGGCCAGCTTAGTCTCTCCAGTGCCTCCAGGGCCAGAGGTCTGCCTGTGATGGGCTCCCTGATCCATTTTTCTTTTCCTTTCTTTCCCTACCCCTCTCATCCCTTTCCTACTTTTCCTCCCTTCCTTCCTTTACTTGTTTCTCTCTCTTCCTTCCTTCCTTCCTTCCTTCCTTTTTTTTTCTCTCTCTCTTTCTTTCTTTCTTCTTTTTTGGAAGTCTCGGAGCCAAAGTTGGCTTTGAACCCCTGGCCCTCCTGCCTCCTGAGTGCTGGCATTACACACCCATCACACCTGGGCTCTTTGCCCATCATTAAGGACCCGGTATCCATTGCCATTTTCTCCTCACCCCATATCCCCCTGGCCCAGTCTTCTTAGCTCCATGGCACTATGTTCCTTATGTCCCCTTCCTGGACCTTCTGACGACCAGCTCTCTGCCCCGCTAGTCCCAGCATGCAGTTCCCCAGGATCGAGCACACCTGCCTTCACTCACCTGTTGCTCTGGGCTGAGCGACCACTCAGAGGATCCCATCCCACCTCTCAGAGAGGTGCTCAGCAGTGGTGCTTCCTGGCGGGTTTCTGCTCCTTCCTCAGTTATACACACCTGTGTCCCCACCAGGGACACACAGCCTTCTGTGTGGTGCCAGCCACTGCATACAGCCTCAGAATCAGAAAGTTACCCTGAGCTCTCTAGAGAGGAGATGGCGGAACACCTACCCTAGAGTGAGATGGGGTTCCTGGAGGCAGGCTAGGCTCCCTCCACCCTCGGCAGATGGTTCTTTCGTGGAACTTTGCATGCTCAAATCTGGAGTTAGCCAACACAGGAATCCTGGCGTGCACCTGCTGCAAACACCCTCTCCACTTTCGTTAGATGCGGAGACAGCCCAGTGGTGCGTCTCCCAGGTATGGTCCCTTCTTCCGTAGACGGGGGGCCACAACAGTAGTAAGAGTGCTCACTCAGGACCGGCTCCTCCCAAGCTCTTGGCAGAGAGCCACTCAGCTGCTGAAGCTGGGCACAGGTGGCTTCCTCACAGTCTGTTCCCTGCCATCCCTGAAGGCAATGCCAACGCCCACACTTCTGAATGTCTCCTCGCTGCTTCGTCTCATCCTCTCCCCTAAGCTCTACTGTGTCCCCAGCGTCTCCCCACACCACGTCCTGAGCCCCGTGTTTTTGTTGGTTTCTTTGACTCATCCCAAACAGGCTGGGGTGGAGGAAGGTATTTAGAAAGGTATTCAGGTTTCCACACAGAACAGGTACCTCCACCCATCGCCCACGCCCTGGGACTTTCTTTGCATCGCTCACCTGCTCTTCTCTGTGAACAAAGCAGGCGGGAGGCGCTGGCCGCTCACTGGCACTTCTCCATCCTCATCCCTACCTCAGCTTGTCCTCCGTGACTCACCCTGACTTGTTGTCTCCCCAGCTGACATTCGATGTCACTCCTGCTACAAGGTCCCTGTGCTGGGCTGTGTGGATCGCCAGTCCTGCCGCCTGGAGCCAGGCCACAAATGCCTGACCACAAATGTGTACCTTGGTAACGTCCCCTTCCCTGGAAGGGAGGGGTCTGGGGGGGGGGCCAGGACAGAGGCTTACAGCAGGGAGACGATCATGGGCCAGGCGCTGCCCTGTGTCTACTGTGACAACCCCACGACGCGGGTGCTGGCGCCACAAGCAGGGCTGTGGCTCACGCTCAGGGAGGATGACTAGACTGAACAGAAGAAAGAGGGACAGGGCCAAGCAGCTCTGGGAAAGAAGAGTAGACGAGGGATCAGGCAAGCCGTTGCCCACCCCTGACCCTTTCTCTGTTGGCTCCTCCCTCTAGGGAAGATGTGGGTTTTCTCTAACCTGCGCTGTGGCACACCGGAGGAGCCTTGCCGGGAGGCCTTCAACCAGACCAACCACAAGCTAGGCCTGAACTACAACACCACCTGCTGCGAGAAGGACAACTGCAACAGCCCGGCGCCGAGGCCCACGCCTGCCCTGGCTCTCATCTCCCTCACCTCCTTAGCTGGCCTTGGCCTCTGGCTGTTGCACTGAGACTCACCCCACGGCTGCCCTCCTCCCATCCACACAGCCTGAGCCTTTCCTCCTCTGTCCTCAGAGCTGCGGCTTTCCAGAACGTTCTCCCCTTTTCTGAAGATCATTTCCCGAGTTCTGTCCCATTTACTTCATGGGACTGTCCGTGGAGTGGTCTTTCTAGCCACCCTCCGTTCCCTCAGCCGGCCCCCTCCATTTCCCCCCAAGTCCTTCCCCATTTCCTTCTAAACCACTCTACCTCCTCACTGGCCATCAACAGGGCTCCCTGCTTGGATGCACGCCGCCGCTGGGCCTCTAGGATCTCCATCTGGAAAGACTACTGTCTTGACCCCAAAAGGACCGGCTGACCTCACTGCGTGGGGTTCATTCACCAAGCCCTCTGCTCGTCTCTTTCCATCTTGGAAAATAAATGTCAGTGTCTAATAAATTGTGTGTGTTATTGTCAGGAGATACAAATGCTAATCTGGGCCTGGCGGCTTTCCTCTGCAATCTCAGCAATTTCGAAGAGGAGGCTGAAGATCAGGAGTTCAAGATCACCCTCAGGCTACATAGCAAGTCTGAGGATGGTATGGACCACCTAAAATCCTGTCTCGAAAAGAAAGAGGCTGAGCTGGTGCACACCTTTAATCCCAGCACTCGGGAGGCAGAGGCAGGTGGATCTCTGGGTTCAAAGCCAGCCTCGTCTACAAAGAGTTCCAGGACAGACAGGGCTGTTACACAGAGAAACCCTCTCTCAAAGCAAAGCAGAAAAGAAAGAAAGACAAAAGAGAAAAAAGGGGCACTATGCTCTTTTAATCCTAGCACTTGGGAGGTAAATCTAAGAGGTTGAGGAGGAGGAGAAAGGAAAAGGAGGAGGAGTTTCCATCTTCACGGAAACTTCACCTCGAAGCCACACCCTCGCCCTTACCAAAGAGGTCTGGGGCGTTTCCCTAAGATGCTGGGCTGGCCAAAACGAAGCGCAAGTTTTTCAAGCCTTTCTCACTTCTCATACCCGAGGGTGGCACACTGGCACTAGTGTGTAAAAAAACAACCCTTATCCCAGATTCACACTACATCCTGCCAAGAAGCAGGTGCAGCTTCGCTCGAGGCGCCCAGAAAGGGGAGGAGAGCTCTGTACCCACAGGGAGCTGGCTCTTGCTTCCACCTCTAACTGGGTTAGAGCAGCTTTCCTTTCTCAGTTCGAAACAGTCCTATCGGGAGCCAAGTCTCGAAGTGCGGAAAACGAGGCAGACAGCGGGCTCATGGAATCCTGGGAACCCTCCCCTCACCTCCCCCTCACTGGCCGTCCTTGTGAAGGAAGGCTCTCCCTGGCAGCAGGTTCCAGGAGCCACTGAGGACAGCGTCTCCGTGCCTAAGGACTGCTATAGGCCTGATAATGGACTGTTAGCTGAGCAGAAGTCAGATAACCCGCATATTATCCCTTCAGCCTCCTTCCCAACAGAAGATACATAGAAGCAGGAAGCAGGAACACATGCCTTTGGGAGGCAGAGGCAGGAGGATCTCTGTGTTCGAGGCCAGCCTGGTCTACACAGTGAGTTCCAGGACAGCCAGGGCTACACAGATAAACCTTGTCTCAAAAAAAAAAAAAAAAAAAAAAAACCAAACAGCCGAGCTGTGGTGGCGCATGCCTTTAATCTCATCGCTCTGTCTCAAAAAACAAAAACAAACAAACTAACTCACTAAACATGAACTTTTTCAGTCAGCTCTAGAATAGTCCGTAAGTTTTAATGGCGCACGGTGGAGGGCCTGTCTTCTCTGGGCTGTTCAGTCACTCACTCCTGGGAAGCCTCAGTCTCTTCTCTTCCGTCAGTCCCGCTGTCCGCTCTACAGCCCTGGCAAGAGCCAGGCCAGGGTGGTGACAGCTGCCGCCACGATGCAGAAGGGGGTGGCCGGGCTGGCCACGGCGCGGTTGCACACGTCTCCAAAGCAGCACTTTGTGTGAGTCGTGAAAGTGATGTCTCCCACCGGCTCCACGCCCACCTGATGGGTGGCCACACAGGCCGGGCGCTGCTGGCTCAGGGCTGAAAGAACGACACTGGGGTGTTGAACTTGCCGTCCCCGAGAGAAGAGATGCAATTTCCAGGGACTCAAAGGGATACCACGCCCTCCAAAAGTACAAAACAGACAGACAGACAGACAGGCACCTCCCTGAAACCAAGGGACTGGAGCGTAGATGCTGCCCTAGGCAGCGATGCTGTGATGTCTCAGGAGCCCAGGCCATTCCTGCCTCAGCCTCAACGTGGGGACAGGGCAGCTAAACACAAAAGGGACGACCTGGCAAAATAACCAGCACTGTGAGGAAAGTAAAACTACAGTTGGGCGTAGTGGGGCATGCCTGTAACACAGCCACTCAGGAGGCTGAGGCAGGAGGATTGCCAGGAGTTCAAGGACAGTCTGTTCAACACACTGAGTTAAAGGCTGCTCCGGGCTATGCATCGAGACCCTGTCCCAACAAAACACCAAACAGAGCTGGGACTGTAGCTCACTTAGTAAAATGCTTGCCTCGTGTGCAAAAGGCATGGATTCGACCCTCAGTACCAAAATAAACAGGACGTGGTCGTGCCCACCATGTGGAGAAAGGGTCATAAGGTCACAGTCATCCCTGGAGCCACAGCAAGTTTGAGGCCAGCCTGGGACATGTGAGACCCTGTGTTAAAAATAAGTTTATATATATATATATATATATATATATATATATATATATACACACACACACACACACACACACACACACACACACACACACACACGAAGCTGGGAAGCTAGCACAATGGTTGTGAACGCTTGCTGCCTTCCAGGGAACCCGAGTTCTCACATCAGGCTCACAAACACTGTAACTCCAGCTCCAGAAACTGCACGCTCTGCCGAGGGTACCTACACAGGTGTGTCACACACTCAGACACACACACACATGCTTACACACATACGCATATACACACACGCACACACACATCCATACACACACACTGCGCACATAGATGCGTACATGCACACTCCTACATAAAAACAGACGTTTCCAGAGTAATAGTAAGTCGGGGCTGAGGAGGCTTTGGAGCTCTCATCACTCCTCCACGAGACTTGGCCCACCCCCAGCACCCACCTGGTGGCTCACAATCACCCACAGTTCCAGGTCCAGAGGATGTTACCCCTCTTCTGACCTCTGCAGGCAGCAGGCACACCTGTGGCACACAAACCTGCATGCAAGAGAATACTCATGCACATAAAACAAAATTTAAAATCTATAAAAAAAAATCATTTTAAGCAAAGCATGGTGGCTCATACCTGCCTTTAATCTCAGCACCCAGGACGTAGAAGTAGGCAGATCTTTGTGAGTTCAAGTCCAGCCTGGGCTATATAGTGAGTTCCAGGCCAGCCAAGACTACACAGTAAGATCCTGTTTCAAGCCAACCAACCAGCCAACCAGCCAACCAGCCAACCATATCAGCCAAAAATACAAACCAAAGAAAATAGATAAATAGATAAATAAATAGATAGATAGATAAATAAATAAAGTCAGTGGGCTATCTGCTCTGATCGTGGAGCGAGCAAGCATCCCACCGAACCTAAATCTAGGCAGATAGTGTCACGCCATCCTTTTCCGGTCTTGGTCATGACCCTGACCCCTTAGCATGTCAGTTTCTGTTGAAACTGGGCACAAACGGGAACTCTGTGCATTTCTTTTGTCATGTTCCTGTCAAACCAAACGGTTTGACATTTTGGCTCCGGGTCTTCTTCGGTCTTCGGAGACAGCTTCTTCCCTAGGAAGGGCCTATGCGGTTCCTCTAGAAAAGGGAGGGAAGTGGGAGCCTGCGGAGTGTGGGCCGCTCAAGGCACAGTGCCAGGACGCAGCGGGGCTAGACCGCTCTGCTTCAACAGTGGCACCATCTGCCCAGAGCGGACCGAGCTGGGAAGGATAGAAGCCAGCAGGCTAGAAAGGGGGCTGGCTGAAAGCGGGTGGACTCACGTTGCTTGGCTTGTCCCGGGCTGGGTTGAGGTTTGCAGCGCTCGCCCTCGGGGCAGGTGATCACCGTCTTCTGGCAGGAGCTGCTGGGGCCTCCACCGAGGTCATGGCAGCGCGTTCTGTGTCCTGGCAGGAAAGAAGAGGTGCGGACCGGCCCTTAGAGGGGTCCTGGCGCAGCGAAGGACGAAGGACGGCCTGTGCCAGAGCGGAAGAGCCTGTCCTTACCCAGAGCGGCCCCTAGCAGGGCGCTGAGCAGGATCCAGACTAGTTGGGGGCTCATCTTAAGCCAGGCGCTCCTCTCCCTCCCGCCCACCCCTCTCAGGCTGTGCTCTGCCAGCTTTATATCCCCCTTGCCTTGAGCTTTATAGGGCAATAAAAAGCGAGGAAAGAGTCTCCCTGGGAAGGCAGCAGGGCCCCAATGGGGCCAGGGAGGGGCCCCGTGGGTGACTCTGAGCGTCCTCTGAAGCCCTGAACTCCCCCATTCCCAGCAGTGGCTCCAGAACGGTGGCCCCAAGAACCCCCGGGGGACCCTAAGTCCCTCCAGAAGCCCCCCAAAGGTCTTCCTGTTCCAGTTCTGCACCTGAGGGTTGTTCTCCTTCACCCATATTCCAGATGGAATGCAGAAGTAGGTTATGAAAACCCAGCCACCTCTGATTACGACCAGCAGGAATGGACTCTCGGAAACGCGAGAACGCCGTTCTCTCTGTGCTCTGGGTGGCAATTATTCCTTTCACAAAACGGCACCTTCCTAACATATGATACGTTTGTTTTTATTTGTTAAATGAATCAAACTAGACCAAGCTATTTATTTCACTAGCTGATGTTGTTTCTGAGACAAGGCTGTCTTTGACCCTCCTGCCTCAGCGTCTCATGCTGGGATTACATGACTCACCATGCCTGGCTTCAATATCATTTTTAAATGTCCTGGTTATTGTTTTGAATTATATATATTTAGTGTGTGTGTGTGTGTGTGTGGTTGTTGAGGCAGTCTTACACATAGCCTAGGCTGGCCTGTAGCTCAGCACGTAGTCCAGGCTAGCCCCAAATTTATGGCAACCCTGCCGTCTCCGCCCCATGGGTGCTGGGATTATAGACAGGAGCAGCACACGTGGCTTCCTTTAAAGGTTTATTTTATGTGAATGAATGCTTTGCCTAATGTAGCGTGCCCCACAGGCGAGCCCGGCACCAGAATGCGTTCCCTGGAGCTGGAGTTGCAGACGGCTGTGAGCCACCATGTGGGTGCTGGGAATAGAACCTGCGTCCTCTGCAGGAGCGACAAGTGCTCTGAACTACTGAGCTATCTCTAGCCCCTTAATTTCTTTAAATGTTTGGGTTGTTTTGGTTTGTTTTGTTTTTGTTTTTAAATTTAGGGCTGGAGAAGTAGGTAACAGCGGATACGAACACTTCTTTCTGAACAGCCTCCTTTCCCGGTGCCCACGGTGGACGGCAGTAACCACCATTCCATGGGATCCAGCGTCCGGCCTCTGGGCTCCTGCACTCACAAGCATGTATCCACACGGACACACGCACGCACACGTATACATAATTAAAAAGTCTTTGTGGTAGCCCAGGCCCAGAGGCAGGAGGATCTTTGTGAGTCCGAGGCCAATCTGATTTACACAGTAAGTTCCAGGCCAGCCACGAAAAAGAGAAGAAAAGAAAAGCGCCCCTAAATGAGTTAATAAAATGTATTATTTGTGTGTCTTCGTGAGCACAGGTGAGCGAATGCCGTCCCGCATGTGTGGGGGCCAGACGACAGCTCTGGGCAGTTGGTTCCACCTGTGTGTTGGAGCCAGGGCTTAAACTCAGGCCCTGAGCTTACACAGCAGACACCTTTACCTACGCAATGGTCTCACCAGCCCATTATGCTAAATATTGATAGGATTCATCTGCAGAACAGACCTGTGGGGTCGTCAGGCTGAGATGCCCACCGACCGCCCTCTTCCTGGGCTGCCTGAGGGCTGGAGAAACCCCCCAGACTCTCTGTCCCCACCCAGTCTCTTCATCCCTAACCTTCCTTAATGCCAGCCCTTCTCCCGGAAACCTGACCAATCTCCAGCTTCTTCTCAGAGGAAGGACAGACATCCTTCCAGCCCAGCTCCTGATTAATTCTTTCCGGCAACATAGTAAAACCAGGAGGGGTAATTATGGGGTAGCAGTGTTGAAGCTTTGGGGGGGGGAATCAAAGGGATGTGAGCGGGGGGGGGGGCGGGCCCCCCCACAGCTAGGCTTTGTGGGTGGGGTGGGGTGTGGGAATGGGGGGGTGGGCTTTGTTGATACCATGGTCAAACAGGACTCTAACATCTAGGGCAGGGAAGGGGTCAGAGTGGAACCTTGAGAGGCCAGCTGAGCTCTGAGGGGATAGACAAAAACAAGGAGAAAGGAGAACAGCTTGAGCTGGAGGGAGGGAGGAGAGCAGGAGAGAAGGCGCCAGACACAGCTCCAGAGAGGCAGACGGCTGAGTTAGCAAACACTGAGAAAACAGCAGAAGACCCTCCAGGCAAGTGGGCCAGGAGCTAGAGGCTCAGGTGCAGGAAAGAGGTGTTGCATCAGGCGGGCGAATGTCTCACTTTTCCACACCCCAGATTCTCCTGCTCGCTCTGTTTGCTGGTTCCTCCCTGTCTTGACTAGGTGTGCTCTGGCAGGTCATACCCTCCCTGACTGCTGAGCCGGTCCCACCATGGGCCTGTCCAGCGCCTTCCTCGTCTTCCTCGGCATCCTGTTCTTCTCAGGGGTGCCGGATAAGGGTAGGCTGAGGAATCCACAAGGGCAGAGGGCTGGGGCAGGGGCTTGTGTCAGGGCTGGGATAGAGAATGGGAAGGGAGCTGGCGGAGGTGAAGAGAGATGGAGAGATTTTAGGACATTGGGAGCCTGAGGCAGGAGGCTCTGGACTCCCAGGCCAGCCTGGACTATGTAAAAGTCTGTCTCAAAAGGCGGGGGGGAGGGGGGGGATTTGAAAGTAACTGCCCTACCCTTGCCTCTCACATGTGGCTCTGTGCTGAGTGCCGCAGTCAATGGCAGCTCCTGCCTCCTCCTCTGTCTCTGGCACCACGTAGCTAACTTTTGCATCCCCCCTTCCTGCTCACGTCTGGCTTTTTGCACCAGTCTCTGCTGGCTTGTTTCTCTTGGCCTCTGCTCCTGTCTGTCTCTCCTGATCGCTGCACCCGTCTCGCTTCTGCCTGATTCTTTGCCGGCATGCCCTCTTCCTCCTTCACCATTGTATCTCTCTGTCTGCTTCTGTTTCGAGGCCCTGCTCTCCCTCCTCTGTGGCTCAGCCCTCTGTGTGCCCCAGAAGTCCGGGCTTTGCCTCTTACCTTCTCCCTGACTTGCTCTCGGCTGACCCAACAGGTCTCGCCACTTCCCCAGACAGAGGACACCTCCACTGTTACACCTGCAGCTTTGCCAAGCCCTGCTACCCTGTCCCCAAGGAGTGTCAGGAAGACGAGGTGTGTGGTATCAGTGTCGGCACCTCAGGTATGTACCACCTGTGCTCCGATATGGCCCTTCTTGGGGTGGCGCCTCGTCTCTCTCTCTTCTCTGCCATTCCTGCCACCATAACCTCAGCATCCCTCCTTTGTCCCACAGACGGAAGTGAGGAGGTCATCGAACGGAAAGGCTGCCTCCCAAGGGCCCAGTGCCCTCTGCTGGGCCGTACTACCTACTGGTCACAGGCCTATACTCTTCGGCACCGGTGCTGTGAGCAGGATCTATGCAACACCGCTGCCTCCCAGCCACTCCCAAGCCTCCCTCTAGCCACCCTGCTACTCCTGGCAGCCTTCTTTGGCTGGGGGGTACAGATCTTCCTGTAGCCTGTGAGTCCAGGATGGTTAGCCCAGGACTCTGAGTCACCAGGGACTCGAAAACACCTGCACAGATACTTCTGAGACATGCTCAAGGGTGCGGCTTTGTGTGAAAACCCTCAGCCATCGAACCCGACCCCTCCACAGACCTGATCGCTACCGCTGGAGTTCTGCTTCCTGCAGGCCTGTGTCGGGAGCCTCGCCTCATAAGAAAGCCCTGCTGTCTTTCCTCTAGATGCCCCAGGTCAGCTACCCTGAATGAGCCGTGGGTCCCAGGCAAAGGGACGGAAGTGGTACTGGGGCTGCTGGGGGTAGAGCACTTTGAGGAAAGAGGTCACTTGGTACCCGAGGGTCTCGAGAACGGAGTACAGTTAATAAAAGGGCTAGTGGGGAGAGATGTAGCCCAGTGATAGAGTGCTTGCCTGCCATACACGAGGCCTTGGGTTCAATCCCCTGCACCACCCCAAAGCAAATAAATACTATGTGAGCATAGTAAGAGCGCTGTCTGCGAGGCCGGTAATTCTGCTGTCACGAGTTGGGGGGCTGAAACACACAGGGGTGCGCCTTAAGAATGAACTCTAGAGGGCAGAAGAGGTGGCTCCTTGGGTTCCACATGTGCTGTGTAAGCGCAAGGACCGGGTCTCCTCCCCTGGCAGCGCCACTTAAAAAGCTGGCATGGGGCTGACGAGGTGGCTCAGTGACTAAGGCTGTCCTTGCAGAGGACCCAAGGTTCAATTCCCTGCACTCTCGTGGTGGTTCACAGCCATCCGCATTGCCGTCCCCGGGAGCCCACGCCCTTCTCCAGCCTCCCCGGGCTCTGCACACAGCGTGGCGTGCAGACACACATGCAGGCAGAACACCAGCACGAGCAAAGATTTAAAGATAAAGAGCTGCGCAGAACCACATGGGGTGCTGTGACCCCAGTGCCATCGGGGGCCGGAGGGACCAGAGCAGGGAAGATCTGTGGGGCTTGCTGGCCACCAGCCCAGCTCCGGGTTTACTGAGGGACCCTTTCCCAAAGCACGGGATACAGAGGGATAGAGCACGAAGTCTGACGCCTTCCACACACGCACTGCTGTGAGCACATGTACACTTGTATGTGGTCAACACACACACACACACACACACACGCACACGCACACGCACAGGCGAGCACAAGAACGAACTGTAGCTGCTTGGTGGGTTGGGCTGGCACACTACCCTGAACGGCGCCCCCTGCCCAGACACCATCTGCGTAGCTGTCTCCTCTTTCCTGCTCAGGCTGCTGCAGCGTGAAGGATGCAGGCAAGGGTTCCAGGAAAGCTGCTCCCTCTATTGACAGCCAAGCTTGAGCCAAGAGTCAAAAGGAGAACCTGGCAGGGCCGCATGTGAGGGCGTGGCCCGGAGCCCAGCTCGCTCCTGGAGGCCAGGGTCCAGCTGCTTTGCTTCGGGAGCACTGGTGTACTCTTCCGCTTCACCGGCCCACGGCTGCCCTCTGTTCAGACAGCCTGGAAGTATTCCCTCCGCTGGGACCTATCTGCCAGCTGTTGTATACCCTTCCTCTGCCCAGGGAGAGAGAGAGCATGGGGCCCACGGGAGCTAGGGGCAGAGCTCTCGGGGAGTCAGGCATGCTAAGCTGCTCCAGCCGATAGAGGCCGGCAGAGAAGCCTGGGTGCCCAGGATAAGGGGAGAGCCCCTGTGGGGCTGCCAACAGGCGTTCCTCCTTGGGCGCCCTCCCTCCTCTTCCATCTGAGGAAGTCTGGGGCCTGATTAAAGGTCTTGTTCCCTCACAACTTCTCTCTGTGAGAACATGGGGCGGGGAGGTCCTGGTGCACTTAGAGGCCTGTGGAAGTCTTCTCCGTTCCCCACTTCTGCCCTTCAGGGCTTCCATTCTCCCCACTCAGCGTCTGAGTCAGCTCCTCTCTTCCTTGTTCCTCCCCCACACGCAGCCTCAGCCTCTCGGACAGGCACCCCACCACTTCTCTGGGCTCCCCTGTCCCTCCTGCCATCAGGGACTCCAGACCCCACAATACTTCTCACTCCGCGTCACTCCTCTCCTGCTGCTGCTTCAAGACAGGAGGCCACACCTTTTTTTGTAGGTTTTATCATTTCATAGGACGATGTTACGATGTTACTCCCTTCCTTTTGCCACCCCTGGCCCCTCCAGCATGGCGGCTGTTGGAAGCCAAGAGGACAGAGAGCCATGCCCTCAACCCCGCCCCTTTGCCAAGATTTTCAGGGACATCCGCAGGTGCCAGGGTCACAGGTCAGGATTTCGGAAGCAGATCACCTGGTCTTGTGGGTGGGCGGGCTGTAGGGTTTACAAAGCAAAAGGCTGTGTCAGGGCCACTGAACCTCCGCAGGAACCAGGGACCCCGTCCGCAATCCGACCCGTTTCCAGGCGCCGGCCTCCCATGCTCAGGCCTCCCGGGGCATAAGCCTCCGGCCCACCTTACCTAAGGCGGGCCAAGTGGATGTTCTCGTAGACCTGGACTTCAGGTTTGAAGTGAAGAACTGGGGGTTCTGCGGAGAAGAAGCCATGGGGCGCATAGATACTATGTCCCCAGACGATTCAGGGGCGTGGTCCTCGCCACCCCTCCCCGAGGGCAGACAGAGGCCAGAAGTGAACCCAACCCTTTGCCTCACACCCCGGTGACCTGGCTGGGAAAAGACCCACCTCTGTCCTGAGACCCCCGGGCCCTCCGCCTCCAGAGCACAGCGCTGAGGGCTATGATGGCGACGCCTTGGCCTGCTGTGAACAACAGCACCAGAATCCAGGACACATCCCAGCTCGGGAGAGAGGCACAGGCAGCGGGAGGAGGTTCTGTGGAAGCTTCCATGACAGCAGAGCCAGAACGATAGGCAGGGCCCGCAACACAAATATGCCACACACGTGAAAACGGAAGGAGAACAAGAAAAAGAAGGCTCTACAGTTTCCCTTCTTCCTTCCCTATCCCCCTCACTCACGTACTCATTCTCTCGGAAACAATGGCCATTTGCTCCTCTCTCTGACTTACAAATGGGTTATTCTCCATCTAGGAGCACCGTTCTCCGTACAATGGCCTTTTATTTTGTACAGCAGTTATACATTCTGCTCCGTCTTCCCTGTCAACAGGCCTTTATACTACGGTATCTGAGACCCCTTCTTCAGAAGGCAGCGCCCTAGCAACCCCTGCGTACTTCCTCTCTGACATGGGAAAGTCCACAGGAAGAACAGCTTAGTGTGTTTCTTTCTTTTTCTTTGTTTTTGAGAAAAGGGTTTCATGTAGTCCCAACTGGCCTTGAACTCCTGCCTCAGCCTCTTGAGTCCTGGGACTGCAGGTGTGTGTCACCATGCTTTGGCTCCCATACTGGCCTATTTCTTGTCTTTCTTTTTTTTTTGGCCAGGGATGAGAGGGGAACGGAACCTCTCTGTACAGCCCTGGTTGGCTTAAATTTTGCTGTGTAGACCAGGCCGGCCATTCACTCACAGACATTGACCGCCTCCGCCTCCTGAGAGCTCGAGTTCTAGAAGCTGGCCTATTTCTTCTGTTCCGATTATTTTCTTTTAGAAGAGGAGTCAACATGTAACCCAGGCTGGCTTTGAACTCACCAAATGGCCAAAGCTACCCTCAAACTTCTGATCCTCCTCCTGCCTCTCACGCCCTGCTTCGATCGGCCGATTTCTTTCTTGAGTGTGTGCATGCCTGTGTGTGTTCGTGTGGGTGGGTCACCAGGGCTGGTGTTCCTCAGCAGAGGTCCTGACAAGGTCTCTCACTGGCCTTGGGGCTCATAGAGCAGGCCAGGCGGGTTGGCTGAGAGCCCCAGGGTCCATCTGTCCATCTCCCTAGTGTTGGGACAGGCACACATCACCATGACTGGGTCTCCTGTAAGACTTCTGAGTTCAAACTTGGATTCCCATGTTTGCGTTGCAAGCAGTTTACTTAGCTGGCCTCTGTCTTCACACCTAGTTAACCTTTGTCTAAAGAGGGGTACACCCTGCCGAAGCCGGTCTCGGTCTGTTCCTCCAGGATGTTGGATTGTGATAGATTTGGGTGAAGCCTTCCCCCATTGCAAAGTTACCCTCACGTTACTGGCCTGATTTGCCTCCCTCCCTAGCTCTGAGAGATGTGCTAGAGAGAATACCTCCTCTCCATTTCCTTCCTCAGTTTACCTGCCAGGCTAAAGCTCAATCTCTTGTTCTGAGGCAGAAGGCAGCGGATGCTCCGCAGCCTCCGGGCCCTGGTTTCAGGAACGCCCTCCGCAGGACACACCAGGAGCAGGGCAGCGCCATCGCCCCAAAAGTACTGAGCGTGTCCTCTCACGGGATTCCTCCCCTCTAGCCAGGTCACCGAGTCCAGACGCCTGGCCGGGACCACAGAGCACAGGAGGGCAGAGCAGGAGGGGCCGTCCGGAGACGTCACAGAGAACTGGGCTCCTGGCAGGAGAGAAGGACCCTTCAGTCTCCCGTGTGGCCTCCCCCGTCTCCGGGGTCCAGAGGGCTCTTCACACCCAGCTCACCTTTGAGCACCGAGACGTCGTACACCCTCCAGTTCTGGTACTTGTGGCTCTGATCCATCACTGTGCACCAGTACCTCCCGGCCTCTTCATCCCGGGACCCCTCCAGCAACAAGGAGTAGTTCCCGAGGACTTTGAACCTGGAATCGTTTTCGGGTTTCCCGAGGGCGGAGGCCGGCCTGTCTACTTGGACCTGAGCCACCAAGATGGTGGAGGACCTTGCCGCGGGGCTCCGGAACCAGGTTAGGAGCTGGCCCCCGCGCAGGGCAGGCGGTGAAGGACAGGGCAGCTCCACCGAGTCCCCCGAGGCGACATAGATGGGCTGGATGCTGTCTGCGGAGAAACGGTGGTGTCGGTCCAGAGCCGGCCATGCCTTCCGCAAGCCTTTGTCATCTCTACCTCCTGCCGTCCTCCCCCCACTCCCCTCAGCCCCCAGCACTGGTTTAACTGGTGAGCACATTTATCACGTGACTGCACAGGAGGTAGGCTGGGGGTAGGCTCACTCGGTAGTCTTTGCCGAGGTTTGGGGTTTCATACCCAGTTTCTCAAGGACTGGGAGTGTGGCTCAGGGTTCCGGGGCGCGCTTGCCTAGCGTGCTCGGGGCACTGGCTTTGGGCCCCAGCAGGGCGTAAATCCAGAAAAGGATCCGTGCTGGCGCACACCTGTGCTCCCAGCACCCAGAGCGGGGATGATCAGAGTTCAGTGTCATCCCCAGCTGCCCTGGGACACGTGAGTCCCAGGAAGAGGAGAGGAGAGGAGGTGAAGAAGGGTGCAGAGGCTTTCCATCTTTCCTGGCCTGGGAGCGGCTCTGGGTCAGGACAGAAGGGGGCTGCAACAGCTGGCGAAAGCCCTAACCTCTTCAAACACTCACCTGCTTGTTGGTTTGTTGTTTTTCTAAAGGAAGCTAAGCCAGGTATGGCAGCACATACCTGGGAATATGGCTAGCGCATCCTAGCGCTTGGGAAGCACCAGGCCAGCCAAGGCGATTACAAAGCAGTACAAACAAACAGAAATAAAATAAGCGTCGCTGTAAGTGGGTGTGGTGGCATTCACCTGTAATCACAGCATTCAGGAGGCAGAGGAAGGAGGAATGTCTGAGCTGAGAGTTCAAGACCAGCCTGGGCTACTGTGGCTTTCTCATTGATTCCACAAAACACCTGGCTAAAGCAAGGTTTTTGTTTGTTTGTTTGTCTTTGTTTTGTTTTTGAGACTGTGTTCCACTGTGTAGCCCTGGCTGTCCTGGAACTAACTTTGTAGACCAGGCTGGCCTCGAACTAAGAGATCCGTCTGCCTCTGCCCTCCTGGAAGTAAGATTTATTTTGGCTAATGGGCTTTGTCCTTCCCCGTTTTATCTAGTCTCGGGCCCCAGTGCACTGGGTGGTGCCGCCACACTCTTCCCTCCCCACTGAAAACTCTCTGGAAACCCGGCACGGTGGCGCACGCCTTTAATCCCAGCACGCAGGAAGCAGGGGCAGCTGGATCTCTGTGAGTCTGAGGCCGGCCTGGTCTACAAAGTGAGTCCAGGACAGCCAGGGCTACACAGAGAAACCCTGTCTTGAATAAACAAACAAACAAACAACCCCAAAAAAGAAAAGAAAAGAAAACAACAACAACAAAACCTCTCTGGAAACTCCCTCATGGACACAGCAACGTACTAGAGGATTCCTGAACTCGGCCACAAACTGTGTAGCTGAGGATTACCTGGATCGCCGGATCTTGCTGCTGTCTGCTCCCAGGTTCTGGGGCTACAGGCATGGCACACCATGCCAGGTTTAAGTGGTAACAGGGGTCAAACCCTTGGCTGGAGATGAACTGAGAACTCTGTACGTGCTAGGCAAGCACTCTGAGCTCCACCTCCAGACCCAATGTTTGTCTTTTTAAAACATAGGAAACTGTATAGAACCTAGACCCGTAGTACCTCGGGTCCCCCCAGGACTAAAGGCACAGAGGGTTCACATGCCTGTTCAGGAGCGCTAAGAAGCAGCAGCTGTGCCTCCCCACTTTCCACATAGCTGCAGAACCCCTCCACCCTCCTGGCCCTCACCTGCCGTGGCCTGGGGGTGTCCACAGAAGAACAGAAGCAGGAGCGTGAGCAGTACTGCCATGGGGAGAGCCTGCCAAGTCCCCCTGCGCCAAAGGCCTGGTGCTTCCTGGGAGGAAGCACAGCACACAGATAAAGGCCACACTCCCTGGGCTGGAGCCGCTCGGCCTCTGCAGGACGGAGAATGTGGGGAGATAAAACGCAGTTGCCTGTCTGGGGGAAAGGGGACGTCCATCTTTCAGTTCCTGGAGTCAGGCCCTGGTGCAAACTGCCCTTGTGTGGAGGGAATCCCAGATGTCTACCTTTCCTCAGCCTAGATGCCTTCTGCAGCTTCTCGTCTCTCCCGAGATGTCAGCCATAGCCCGCTGACTGTCCTTCGCACTCAGCACAGAACAGTACATCTAGGCCCTAAATGAGCTCAAATGACTCTTCCTGTGGTTGCCTGGCATATCGGAGACCATTCCAGGAGGCCTGAGGAGTGCCTTTAGCTGTTGTTCAAGGAGAAGCAGAGCAGGGACCTGGATTATTCATGGATGCCCAAACTCTAGGCAGGTCTTTATAAACTTCTAATTGTGTGTAATGTGTCATTTACTTAGTTAGTTGCCTTTTGTTCATTTGGCTTTTTGTTTTGTTTTGTTTTTTTGAGGCAGGGTTTCAAGTTGTCCAGGTTGACTTTAAACCCACTGTGTAGCTAAAGATGACATTGAATTCCTGATCATCCCCCTCCCAAGGTATGAGGTGACAGGCGTGTGTCACTATGAACGGCTAGTTACTTATTTCAAATATAGGGCAAGTTGTTTGCCACTGAGCTATAGCCATAGCCATGGCGTTACTTTCTTTTGGGCTAGTGAGATGGCTCCCAGGGTAAAGGCCTTTGCAACAGCCCTAACAATCTGAGCTCAGTCCTCAGGCTCCACAGGGTGGGAGGAAAGAACTGAATTATCCCAAGTAGTCCTCTGACTTTCACATACAATGTGCTGGCTAGTTTTTAAATTTCAACTTTACACATTAAGGCCCTGTGGGGAAAAAAGGAATCGTAATCCAGAAAATGCCTCCGTAGTTCTGACCAGCAGGCAGGTCCACAGGGAATTTTCTTGGTTGATGGTTGACATAGGAGGGCTCCGCCCACTGGAAGGTGCCATGCCTGGCTCTGTTGTCCTGAATAGTACAAGAAAGCAGGCTATGTGCTTACTCAAGCCAGTAAGCAGCACTCCTGCATGGTCTCTGCAGGAGCCCCTGCCTCCAGGACCCTGCCCTACCTGAGTCCCCGCCTTGACTCCTTTCACTGATGGACTGTGATGTCCAATTCCCAGCAACCACATGGTGGCTCACAACCATCTATTATGAGATCTGGTGCCCTCTTCTCCTCTCCTGATGTGCAGGCATACATGCAGATATTGTATACGTAATAAATAAATAAATTAAAAAAAAAAGAAAAGATTTAAAAAAAAAAAAAAAGAAAAGGCAGTGCATGCGTTTAATCCCGACACTTGGGGAGGCAGAAGCAGCCAGATCTCTGTGAGTTCAAGGCCAGCCTGGTTTACAAAGCATGTCCAGGACAGCCAAGACTACACAGAGAAACCCTGTCACAAAAAAACAAAAAGAAATATCCTCTGCCAATGCCATAAATCCAAAACCCTCAGACATGCAGGCTGTGTGCATATATGGAAACAAACACACAACTTAATTTTAAAAGTTGGGGAAAAAAAATTTGTCTAGTGTTGATGCCTTTAACCTTGCTCTTTGAGGCAGGGTTTCTCTTTATAGCCCTAACTGGCCTGGAACTCACTCCATATGTACACCAGGGCAGCTTGGGATTCAAGAGACCCAGCTGTCAACACACCCACCTGCCTCTAAAGGCGTGCGCCACCACATCCGGCAGATTACCTCTTTCAGTAACTTTATATAGGATCCTCTGTAGGTGTGTGTGTGTGTGTGTGTGTCCCAGGCCTTTCTCATCCAGCATCCTAACATTAGGGTTAGGGGGAAAAAAAGATTTAATCACACTGGGACTTTTTTTCCCCATCTATCTATCTATCATCTATGTATCTATCTATCTATCCATTATTTATTTATTTATTTATTTAATCACTTTACAGCCTGATTCCAGCCCCTCCCTCCTCCCCTCCCAACCCCCCGGTGAGCCTAACATAACTGCCTTCCGCCGGGACTTTTTTTTTTTTTTTTTAACTCTAGACTTTCAGAACGCCGCGCACTAATTCTTGACCATCGCTGCTCCGTAGGTCCAACCACGCGGAACACTTCTCTCGGGGCGAGGAATGTCACACCGGACCCTGCCACGGAGCAGAGCCGGTACGTGCTGACGTCACGCAGCACGCAGCGCCTCGGAGGCCGAGGGCGGGGCCGCCGGGGACCTGAGGCCGAGGCACAGCGGCCCGAGTCGGGGCCATGGCGAAGCTGCTGAGCTGCGTCCTCGGTCCCCGGCTCTACAAGATCTACCGGGAGAGGGACACGGATCGGGCCGCGCCCGGCGTCCCGGAGACTCCCACTGCCGCCCCCGCCCCCGTCTCCAGCTCCTGGGTGAGTCGGCTCCCCCCGGCTGAGAGCATGGTACGGTCCAAAGCGCGCTGGGCCTGCGCTCGCCGGGCGCGCCCACTGTCGGGGACGGGGGCGGCCGCGCAGTCCGCCGTGGGCGCTTCCCGGCTCCCGGCCGCCGCCTCCCCTGACGCCTTTGGAGGAATCGTCCTCTCGGCCCCTCCCCAGTGCTTGCTCTTCCCACCCCGCGGCCCCGGCCCTTCCCATCCAGGGTTCCTGGCTGGTCCCAGTTGAGTTCGGAGTCCCCTGCGCGCACCGAGGCTTTTGCCCACACACTCCCGATTTCTTTTTCCTCTCCCGGGCTCCGCTGGCTTTCTTTTTAACCTGACTTTCAGTTTCAAAAAGACTTCTACATGCCGTGTGCACTTTCTGCTCCCCGCATCCCCCAACCCTAGCCTGCAGACCAGGATCATTGCATTCCGACAGTGCAGGTGGTGGTGGTCTGCTCCCTGAATAGTCTCTTCCCCTCCTACTGGCTGCAAACTGTGTTTGGGAGCCTTTCCAAAGTGCCCACACCTAGCCACATTCTTCCCCAATCATCTTATTCAGATGCTATTTCTTCCCTCTTAGAATCGTCATGGAGTCTTTCATTTCCACTCTTTCCCTCTCCGCATATACACACAGTCATATTTATATACGGGTTTTGGGGGGGGAAAAAGAGCCAGTTTCCCCAGTGCTGCTTTTGCTTTTGCTTCCAAGGCCAGCACCCTCTGATTGTTTTCAGGTTCAGAGGTGAGAAATCAGGCACAGTGTCAGGTTAGGGAAGCAAAGTCAGTCGATGCCCAAGAAATGGCCAGAGATTAGAACCAGGTGGCACACATTAGGGCTTCAGGAAGGGAGGAAGGGCCTGTGGACTGGCAGGAGCCTTAACAGG